TTTCTGCGTGAAAAGAGGAAAATCAGTGAACCTTACAATTTGAAGGTAACAAAAGTGTACCTTTTATATAAAGAGATTGGCAGCAATTGAAAAAATACTGAAGATGAAACAAACAGAAATTTGGTAAAATGGCTCCTCTGGGATTCTCAGTTTACTCCTGTCTGGTTACCTGATCTAGATAAGAACTTGCTGTAAACAAATGGATAAAAATTATTCCCGAAAAACTCCAATAGTTTGATAAAAGAATCAACTGATCAGTTATATTGCAGACGGACTAAGTTTTGCAAGAGATCTCGTGCTTTATATCCGGATTATCGAGGCTTTCTGCCCTTTTCAATTTGTAGCCTCCATAAACTTTTTGCAATGTTTATTAGAATCGTATCAACTCTAGTCATTCCAAGCGTTAAAACTAGCAGTTTCAACTCATCATCCAGTCTAATAAATTTTGTCACAATAATGCAAAATAACTTTTTGTTCATTAAACTTTAGTCAACCGACAACATTAATAGTTGAACTTTGAGTAATAATGTTCCTGCAATTGCAGCAAATTCAATAATAATCGATATTTTTCAACTATTTTATCGTTACGTTTCTCGATTAAATTGGAGCAAACTATTAAATCATTTACAACAATTTGAAATGATTTCATTTGTATGCTCATAAATTCCATTTTGTCTACACTCCGTCAATTTCCATGACTGTACTAAAAATGTTTTCGAACGTTCAAGAGAGATGAACAGAGATTGCCTACGAATCTCTGTTTGGGTCGGAGTTTTGGAACTGCGTCTTTAATGGTCTTTTGGTAAGCTTCGACTTTAGCGATTATTGTCTAACTGAATATTCAGATGGCTTTTATATGTCTTTTAATAGGTCGTGTTACAGAAAGCCTTGCAAAGGTCGAGTCAGTTCTCAATTACATTTCTGTTTGCTTTCAAAAAGATAATAAAAACAAGGTTGAGGACTATTTTCAATGATTTTCAGTGACTATTTTGCCGATTTCAGTTGTTATTTAAATCGAAGATTAAATGAATTTTTCGTAAAAAGACTGTGATTGATTACTTTTTGAGAAATCGAGAAACTCTGGTTAGTAAATCTTTTGAACCTGGAAGTAGCGACTTTTACAAAAACCATTTTGACCAGAGAGAAACATTAGATTTAAACTCGACAAACGTTACTTTCCTTTAATAAGTATAAATTGAATAAAAAACTGACAGCCAGTCAAGTTTTAATCGTATGTTTTCTGCAATTTTTTCCATTTCTATTTTCACGTTCCTTCAACCTCTTTATTATCACTTGCAAGCTTACTTAGTGCCTCTGTTGGTCAACTTTTATCAACTAAGTTTCCCTTTAAAGCATGTTCATGTTGTTAACCTTGTCAACTGCAATCGATTATAATGTTGGATGGTTCAAGACTATAATAAATCAAATAGTTAAATCTTGTTTGTAACTTTCATTAAGCTTTCACCCAACTTTGTATCACAAACAAAAAATTGTGTAAATAAAACAATGTCCAATTGAAACACTTTCCATTCTCACAAATTCCGTTTGACTGGCCATTAATTTTTCTGATTAAATGCAATTCATGAAAGTTTATTATCCAATGCATTTGAGATTGTCTGATTAGTCCAGTCTTTCCTAACCAGTTTAACCCAAACCTGATGAATGGTTAAACTGCAAGTAAACTGAAACATTTTGCCAATAAATTGATTTAAGGTCACTAATTCAATATTAGCAAAACGTTTACTGTACTTTTAATCATCGTCAATTGTCAATAAAATATTTAAATCTATTTTACTTGCAATTACAATCACAAAGGATTAATTATGTGAAAACCTTTTCGTGTAAAGCGAACGACTTTTTTTTTCTTCATCTTCTTGCTTGTCATCTAATAAGGTTGACTTTAAGGATCAAGCCATTTGTTGCAAGATAAATAAGAAGTAAACAGGGAAAAGCGAATGAAGATGAAGAGAAAAAATAAGCTTTTCATTCATGGGAATGAGAAGGGAAGGGAAAAGGATAAATCAATAAGGAATGACCAGAATGCTAATTACATCTTCATCTTGACCATTCAACTGCCGTCCAACAACTAAATTGTTATTCTCCATCTTATTCCAACTCTTTCACACTTATGTCTCAATCTGACATTTATTTTCTTTCACTTCCCTGTTAAACCTGAAAACACTTTTACGTGAAACAACTTTCATCTCAAGATAATCTCTTGTTTATCGCAATGTTTATTCATTCTTGCCTCACTGACGTCCAAACGAAGCTAAGAAATACAAATATCTTGATCAATTTTCGAAATCTAAGCAACCAAGAAAGAAAAAAGAATTCGGTTTTCGAAAAACTTCCTTAAAAGTTTGAATCTTCTGATTCTAAATAAATATTCTTGCCTCATAAGCCGCACGCTCTTGGTTTTGTCTGGAAAAGTGGTCTGGAACAAAACTTTTCCAGAAAAAAAGTTTCATTGACAGTGATTTTCTTATGAAATTTTCTGTTGGAATTTTTTGGGAAAAGTTTTCTCTTTTTCTTTAAAAAAAGCTTTAATTCTAACTTGAGCCTGCCTTTTGCTTTGGACAATTCGGGTTGATTAATGATTCACTCATGTTTATCATTTAATCTTGATGTTTGATCAACAAATAGCATGTAAATTGACCCATTGGTCAGCATGTTAAGTGAACCTTGAACAAGGCTTGCAAAAAAAGTGTCAATCACACAGCATCTTGAGACTGACAATGAATAGATGGAAACTGTGAAACCTGTTTAACCAAACAAACCCAAAAGTCTAACCGTTAAACATCAAATCAATCAATTTTGTTTTACCTGACTGATGATGTGATTGGCAAAAGACGTACAACTGGTCGATTCAAAGAAGTCCAGTTTACGTGTTTTCCATTTCACCAATCTCTCAACATGATAATCACAGAACTTTTTCTTTTCCTTTCAAGAGCAACAAATGAACCCGAAAAGCGCATAAAAAAGTTTAACATTTCAAATGTTTAAACAAATGGTAATGACAATGAAAGAAAAAGTGGAAAATAAAAAAGTCAACAAATGTCATTTACTGATGGATTCAGTTTCAATGGAAATCATGAAGCCAAGGAAATGACCTTCACTCTGTTTCCATTCTTCATTCATAACAATCACTTTTTTTCATGTTTCATCATTTTCTTTGATCTTCTTCTTCTTCTTTTCCGTTTTTTTTGCTTTTCCTTCAAATGGACAGATTATTGAAATGCCAAGAGCAAGCATTTCACATTTGAAAAGCAAGGAAAATCTTGAAGCTCTTTCAGGGGAAAAAGTTGAAGACAAGAAAAAAATTTGACGAAAAAAATGAAAAATAAAAACTGAAGAAAACAAAAGAAAAGCGAAATTCGTTGCTTGTTTTTTCTTCTCTTCCATCAAAGTTACAATTTAAGGTTTTTTTGGCCTTTTGTTTGTTTGTGTATCAAGTTGAAATGAACCACAGACAGAAAAAAAAGTGAATGTTCAAAGAAAATCGATAAAAGAAAATATCATAAAATAATATTTGTGTCTGTTGAAAGAAGAAATGAAAAGGAAACTCAAAAAGTCTCCAAAGTAAAAACACGATTCAACCCAAATCTTTATGGTTATCCTTTATTGTCTTTAACTTATAGGAATATGATTTACAGCATTCCCAACCTTTTCCCTATCCAATAACATGGTGAGCTTACAAAAGGCTCAATTGTTAAAAGTTTATTGATGTTGCAAGAAAGAAAAGTGTGCGCATCGCAAGCAAAAAATGTGCCACTTTTATCCTCATCATTGCAATATCACAGTTTAATCACATCAACTCTGTTTACCTTTATCATTCCCAGACTCACTCCCAGTTTATATTGTTATCTTGTGGAGTTAACTTCATTTTTCCAGTTAACTAGAAAACTATTTTCTCCTTTTCTCCCAACTTGGAAGAGTGACAATAAAAAATGATCATGATATCATGGTAAACATGAAATATATTGAATAGTTGACCTTTGGTGGTCTCGACTATTCGAAAGCTCAAAAGTCAAGTTTTTTCCATTTCAAAAAGTAAAATTCTCTCAGAAAATTGCTGTTCTTTGGAAATGGACAAAAAACTTGACCCCAGTTCAAATGTTGTTTACACTCAAATCGATGATTAATGCTTTGATATTTTGGTTTTTCGAACTTTTGTCAATAAAAAATCAAATTGTCGTTAAAATCGTTTTTTTCTGCTTTTCTTTTCAATCGGTTCAGTCTTGATTTGCTTATCGAACATTTCATCGAATTGATTTGAAAAGTTTATCAAAAAGTAATTTCATCCAAAATGTTCTTAACGACCAATAAATGTTTAACTATCGAACTAAAAATACCAACTTTTGTCGAAGGGAAAAGTTTATTTCTCTTGTGTTTTCTTTTCTCTACTCAACTTTGGGAATTTTGGCGCAACTTCTTTTCTCTTTAATCATTATTCAATGTTATGAACTTTTAAACTCACTAAAGATTCCAATATGAATAGAGACTGAAAGAGTACAAAAACTGGCTCAAAGTTTCTCAACAGGGAAACTTTCATTAGATTTTTTCCATTTTTTTTTATTCTCACTTGGTTAACAATATCAATTAGCAAAACAAATTTTCATTGAAACCAGACTAATACGTTAATCAGTTTGAAACATTCGTTTCCCTCTTTTCCCTGTACAAGACTTTTCACCATGAATGGAGCTTGTTTGGGTTTCCATTGAAGAATCGAGTTGTTCCATATTCAGTCTGAAAATTGAAATTGATTGAAGTTGCATGGCTGTAGTAATGATTTATTTCGCATGTTACATGGGAGAAAAAAATGAAAGAAAAAAAGACTAAAGAATGACATTCTTTTCAAGATGAACATTTGCCAAAGAATAGAATTTGGAAAAAGAAATTTTCTGCTCTTTCCTTTTCTCTAAATCAATTCAATTATGAACAAAAAGACGGCCAAAAAACTAATTTGTTTTTTTCTCCATTTTCTGATTTTCATTTTACAGACTTCTGCAGGCAAAGAGGAAAAATCATATGAAATTCAAGTTATGAATTTGACAAAAAATAATTTCGTTGAACTAAAAAAGGAAATCTTCTCGAATGCTCATTTAATTAATCTTCAGAGGATATTTTTAAGAAAAGGTTTGTATTCAATTTATATTATCTTTTCAATAATCTCAATCTGTGTTCCATTTCGCATTTCAACAATAAAAACTCACGAGCAAAATGAAGAAGACCATGAATCTCTAAAAGATGATTATGTATCTGAATAAGTTATAGTTACTGTTAAGATCATACGATATGCTGGCTTAAGTTGGAACTTGAAACTCGTATTCTTTAAGTGAATCGCAAAACGCAGATTTGCATTCGTAACTAATACAACTTGAATAGCTCTGGTTCCATTTCTTCCATACGTTAGAAACCAAGCTTTCGTTGAGCAAAGTTTACTTTTCATTCGATCTTCGACAATGTTTCGAGAAATTTTGAGCAGAACAGGAATGAAGTAAGAACACGAAAAACAATAGAGATCGTCTATCGATATACTGGTTGAAATGATGACACGAAAATAACAGAGATCGTCTATCGATACACTTGTAGAAACAATAGCTGTGCAAAAGCGTTTTCAAAGTTTTTCGTTTGTTGGTGTCTTTCAAGCCTAAAGCTTTCTTTTTGCATAATGTTTGCACTGGAGTTTTTCGTATTGAATCGAAATCAATTATCGTAAAGAGTTAGTATGCAAACTGGTTTTGACGAGAAAGTTTTACAGAAATTAACATTTCTCCTTTTCTTTCTATTTGCAGCTTCCATTGAAAAAATTCATAAAACAGCTTTCTTCAAGCTTGTTCAATTGATCGAACTTGATCTCGCCTACAATTTTCTCAAATCCGTACCAATAGATGCATTCCAGCACATACCTAAGCTTAAAATTTTGGATCTCAGTTTTAATCAAATTGAAGTTCTTAAAGATAATTCCTTCCATAGTTTGAACAATTTAAAGACTCTTCTACTGAACGAGTAAGTAACTAAACGAAGGGTAAAAAGGAAATAATTCAGAAAAGCAAAAAAAAGTCTCTTTAAATTATCATCATTTTTAAAGCTACAAATTACTTTCATTTCTTTTCATTTCAACACCCAATTTTACACCAAATTTTGACTCTCTGATGAGTTCAGGGAAGCAAATGTTTGTTAATAAAGAGCAAACAAAATGTCAACAGAAAATGATGATAATAATGCAATTTCATTGCAATGATTACTCGGGAAAGCTGAGCAAGTCAATCTTTAAAGTTGAACCAAAAAGTGAAATGCAAAAAGTCAACAAAAATCAAACTCTTAGCCGAGTTGCTTCAAATTTTACTCATTAAACTTGTCACCAATTTACAAGGAAAAAAAGTACCATTCGTCTCTAATGTTGAACAACAACGGAAAGTAATGATAATGAGCTTTGACAATTTTCATTTCTGTAAAGAAATTAAATTCAATTGTAAACGTAAAGTTAATTGAAAGTTCAACTGAACAAAGGACAAACAACTGCATAATCTTGAGCAAATGTGAATTCACTTTGTTTTTATTAATACTGATTTCGTTTTTGCCATTCTTCGTACTTTTTCTGATCCAATTGATGCAAGATGCATAAATGGGAAGTAAAAATGTTCACCTCATTAAACACTGTCATGGAAACAGCTTTTCTCTATTTCATCAATTCCCTTCATCATCATGTTTACCTGATTTCTGTTCACCTCGTTCAGCCTCATCATCAACTTTAATCTTCCTTTACATCTTCAGGGCGAACCCTTTTCGCTTCCTTTTTAGCTTTTCATCTCTTTCTCCTGACTCAACATTTAGACACTTTCAAGTTTCGATTCATCGTTAGATCAAACATTTCCATGTTTATACTCTTTTTACGTTCTACTTGATTGGAGTAAACATTCGTTATTCACTCCTCGACAAACATTCAAAGCATCCTAACATTTGCTCTCCAGTTTCGTTTACTGTGCATTTCAACGTTCAAATGCTATTTTCATTCTTGAGAATCGATAAAAGATACTTTTCACCAAATCATTGTATTTTGTTTGCTAGTTTTGATGTAAATGCAAAGTTAAGAGTCTTTGTTGTGAACGTTTCATTTGGATTTTTGGCGAAGAAGAAAGTTTCTAAAATCGAAAGACAATAAACAGTGAACTCATTTTCATAGAGCAAAGTATTCTTTGGTTTTACAGTAACATTGTTTGACGATATTATAAGTTAGTCAACGATGAATAGAACTAGAAATTGAAAGAATCTGGAATGAGTTCAAAATGAGGAATGTAATAAACTTTTCAGTCTTCTCAGGGAACATTTGTCATTTTATTAAATCTAATTTTGTTGATTGTTCAAAGGAAAAGCCATAAAACATTATCCTTTTGCTGTTTTAAAGTTGCCTCTTGTCGATATTGAAATGGCATTATTCTGTTTGTGAAAAGTCAATCTTGTCAAAAGTTAAACGATTACAGAAATTATCTTTAAATTGAGAACAGAATCAGAACAGTTTAAGACATCATTTCATTAATCATAAATCACAGCCATTAAAGTTGATGTGAATCATTTTATTTTCACATGAATGAAGGGCAAAATGGAAATGGAAAAAGTTAAAAAGTTGACAAAATGCTGCCTTAAAAACGATCCCAAGTGAGGTTAACCTTAGCTGAGATCAGACTTAATCGATAAATGATTTCATCTTTCATTAAAGTGTGAATCTCTTGTAAAGCGATTCAAATCGAACTATTTCCATCTTCTCTTCAAATCACAACTTGTCATCAAATTTCCTTTAATCAAATGCAATCGTTTAGAGCAGTTAAATAATTTCATTATAAGTCATGATATCATCGAGAAAATGGAAGATCTAAATTCCATATCAGCATTATTGGGATCGTCATGCTTCCTTGTAAGATCATATTCAAGTTGTCTGAGCAACAAAGAAAAATGAACCTCTTCTTTCCTGGCTCTTGCGATGTAAACAAAAATTTCATCTTTTTCCTGTTTTCTCTGTCGAAGAAGAAAGAAGCGAAAAATTCAATACTCATTCAGATGAATTTCTGTTGACTCTTTATTACTATTTGCATTCGGTCCAACATTTACTTGCTGCTTCCATTTATATAACTTTAGTCTAATATTATTCTCATTCCCAGTTTGCTTCAACTTTATACAAAACATTCTTGATATAAAATAAACTATTCATATTGGCATTTTCATCTTCATCATTTTACTTCTTTTCCCTTCTTCACTCTCTCTCTCTCTATTCGCCCTCAATCATTCCACTTCTAGTACAGAAGAAGAAACAAGAAGAAAGAATAAGAAAGGGTATTCATTTTCTGACAGCTTAAGGGATAACCTCTTTTCTGCTCTCTTTTCTTGCGCCTTCACTAGTTATTATATTTTGATATTCTTACCAATCATTCAAGTAGAATGTTGATTTTGAAAGATTTATGTGGCTCTCTGTTTGTATTGAGTAAAAAGTTTCTGCTTCTTCCATGAGGAAAGATGAAGAAATTGAAGAGGAAGAAAAGGCAACCGAATAATGTGCACACAACCATGATCGATTGTCTAATAAAAGTATAAAAATATATTCACTGTTATATTTAATATTTAGATTTTTGTTCAACTCTTTCGACAACCATTCAACTTGAAGAATCATTTAAAACAAGTTTTCCCAGTTGTATCTGACTTTGTACAACGAATCATATGCAATCATCGATTCAAAAGACAATTAGAACAAAGTTTCGGCACTTAACTTAGCATTGAGCTGACGAAAAGATTTCGGTTCTTCTTTCTTCTTCTTTGGTTTCAAAGTTTCCAATTGTAAAGCTTATTCGATTGCTGCTGTTTCGTTTGAACCAGGAATAAGTTTAGTTTGAATGAGTTTAGCTTTTCGTTGGTTTGCATTTCTTTCTGTTAATTGTTTGGTTGGATAATGAATTATTGTACTCGAGTGATGATAAATATCAATTGGAATTGTTGATTCTGTGTGTTCTTTGGAAAAATGAAACAAAAAATGACTTGGAATCTGAATGGATGGAGAAGAAAAGAAGGAAAGAAAAGGAAAGTTATCATCACAAGTGGATAATAATACATTGATAAGTGTATAGTCATGATGAGTGTGTATCTCATTGGGAACGGGGAACAGTGAGAGAGAAATGGAAGAAGAAAAAAGAATAATATTCTTGGCTATTCTTTTGTGTCAAAATAACTGAAATGGATAGCATTTTATTGAGTCCAGCGAAGAATAAGAAAGGTCAGAAAATGAGAAATGTAAAAGCTTTTAGTTAGTTAGTTAGTTATCCATAATAATAATGGTCTGTGAAAAGACGAAAAATTATTATTACATGAATCTCATGTTATTATATTGATCTCACGTGGAAATCATTCCCTTATGAAATATGCTTTGTGAGAAGTGAAATGATCCTTGACAGAATTAACTAGTTTACCTATTTGAGTATAAAATTGTATATTGCAAGAGAGTTATGAGGAAAATTGCGGAAAACAGTTTAATCGCTGCTTTTGTTTTACATTGCAAGATCAATATTCGTCAAGGGTATTTGATTGCCTCAACGAAACCAAGATTAGAACAGAATGAAAAATGAAAAAGCAAATTTCGTAGAGTTTTAGATTGAAAAGAAATCCAATCAAACGCAAATTGAAAGTTCAGCAAATTTTTCCTTTCGATTTTGCTTCTCCAACAAAATAATGTAAAGAAGGTTTCATCTCGTTGCAGCCATAGTTCAGCTCTGAACTCAAAATTGCAATCTAAATTCATGTTGATGTCAAAATACATTTGCCTTTCAAAGATCAGCTAATAATCAAGCTTCGCAATCGAAATTAATTGCAACAGTTGCTTTACAAATGCTAATAAAGTGTTTAGAACTCTGTCTGAATTCATTTTTCAAATGCAAGAGAGTTTAAAGCCAAGAATCTTTCTTCGAAAGGTTTGCCTTAGAAGTCTCTTTACGCATAGAGGTAACCAATACTGGCATCAAAGGTTGCAATCAAAGGTTTATTTGCTTCGAACGCAAATTGAAGACGATTACTTCATCAAGTTCAATAGTTAAATTAGCATCTAATGTTGAACAACCTCGTGAAGAGAAATACGACTGAAGAAGAAGGTTTTAAAGCTGTTAAGATCTAGACATAAATTTGCGTTGAATGAGACATAATGTCGATGTCAAGTTTAGATATCTTTATATGCATAAAGATGTCACTTAGGTTCATCGAGTCATTTGTAAGTCTATTTAGAGCAACAATTTTCCTTATTCGGTTTCATTTGCATCGTCTAATTGTAAATTCAAGTCATGGATGTTTGATGTCTAATTTTGCACTTTTCACGATTACATGGAATGCATTTTGCTGAGAATCTTTACTTTCAACTAATTTAATATTGAATACTCATAAATACACTTTTTATTCGCTCTTTTTGTTAGCAATATACTTTTACCATCTTTAAAGTACCTAAATGGAAACAATTATTGTTCACCTTTTTATTTACAACACTTTTAACACCTCAAAAGAGTTCAATATTCATTAACTTGCCATGATTAGTTTATACAGTCAATTAAAATGAGAAAAAGGTAATAAATAAAGCTGCAAAGTAAACTCAACTTGTTCCAGTTTCTCTCAATAAACATTGCCCAAGTAAAGCATCAAGTGCAATAGTTTTTCCTTGAAATGGAGCAAAGGGATTCTGAATGTCCATCATATCATTAACTAGATGAATGACCAATAAAGTTGGGCAAAGTCAAAATACTTTCATTGCTTTTGTGTGAGCTTTGAAAGGCGTTTATTAGCCAAGAAACACGACTCATCGAGTCAACATTTACAAAATGGAAACACTCAATGATATTAAAACTCATGTATTAATCAATTAATGTAAACATGATTAAAGAATAAAATGAAGCCAATAAATGAATTGGTCCAAGAATCAGGAGAAGCATGAGTTTCCATTGGAAATGTAACTGAAGGTCAAATTCGTTTTCTTTTGCCCTCTCATCATAACTGAAGTCATTGGCAGGGTTCAAGTTTATTGCAGGGAAATGGAGAGGAAAGGGAAAAGGTCATTTCTTGTGTTTGGTCATTCTGGTGATGAACATGAAAATTTGTTGTCAATAGTAAACCATTTGGAGTTGCAATTAGTGGCAACAAAAGACTAATTTTCTGACTCACATGTTCCATGTAATTGAGTTGGTATCAGTTAAGAGACAGTGAATACGGACAAAAGAGGTAATATGAGGAGTTGAAGGAAGATGAACATGAAGTTTATATTAAAGATAATAAGAGAGTAAAGGGAGGAAGAAAAGTTATCTGGTTCAAGGAAAAGCGATTCAGTTGAGCTTTGATTCTTTTCAAGTTAAAGGCAAAGGTTAATAAAAAAAGGTCATTGGGCAACAAGAAAAATTGTTATCATTCTGTGCCGAACTTCAATGTTTACTTGCAATTCATTTTAATCTTTTCAATTGTCCTCAAAATATCAACTAAGCTTGATTGCTTTACTTTGATCAAAGGTAATTGTTGATCTTCAATGGTACAGTATTTAAAGTGAAAACTGTTGGCCCGTAATTTTTATTTGTTGCCTTTGAATAAAGGCTAAGAGGATTATTAATGGTCAACTTGATGGACTTAATGCTTTCCAATTGCTCAATTTTTGATTGAAAATGTTTTCTTCTCTATTGAGTTGCCATCAAATTGTTCGATAATTTACTCTCAGCATCGTTACAGGGATTTGAAGGAGAGAAAATACTATCTTTAGAAAGAAACGATTTTATGCAAAGTCGAAAGTTCAAATGAACTTGATATTAGCCTTGACAGAACACAAAATACTTGATAAAAACTGAGTCAAGTCATGCAATTGGAAAGTGAAAATGACTTGGAGAATCACGAATATTTTAAGCTCTTCGAGTTTCGAGATTCTCAAGAAATCTCTTTAACTCGTGACTCGCCAATCAGTTAGTCGATTCATCGCTTTTTAGTCGATCTTTCGCTTTTTTCTTGATCAATTCTCGATTAGTTCTTTGATCTTAAATCTGCAAATAAAATTTTCTTTGAAATCGATTTTGCTAAAAAGTTTTAAGAAAAGGATGAAAGGTGAAATGAAACATTGAGAATTTGTTCTGCATTTTCAAGACCGAGTTTATGAAGAAAATTGTTATTGGAAAAATGGTTTCGTTGGTTTGCCAATTAAACGAAATCCCAGGCAAGTTTGACAACTCGAACAGAATATCTTTTCATTAAAGATTAATTGTCTTTTCACTCAATAGTGTCAGCCTTTAAAGCCAGTAATCTTGTTCATTTCAAGTGAAAAATGTTTTCATCTTAAAGTAAAATTTTGTTTCTTTCTTATCCCATATTGTGTTAAAAATTTGATATCCGTTTCAAGAAGCATCAACTAACAAGAACAATGAGAATTTCATGAAACCAGATAATGAACAAATGGAGAAACCATTTTTCGTTCCCAGTTGCAAAGTTATCTTTTCCTTCGCTTCCCAGAATAATTGATTTCCAATTGACTTAACAACATTTTCTTTTGAATCATAATAACATTTTATTAGATTTGCAACTTTATCAAGTTAATAAGTTTTTTCTCCATCTTACAAATGATCTATTGCATGATCATTGTTTAATATTATTGAAAACGGAAATGTTTTCCTAAGCATAAAAGAATGAAGAATGAGTAAAAATGAAACTTTATCCAGAATAAATTTTTTGGAATATAAAAATTTCCAAAACTCGACAAAAACAAAAACGCCTTTCAACCCAGAAGAAAAGCAATAAGTCGAGTTGGAAACAAGAGAAGAAAGTTGCCAAAAAATCACGTAAAATTGTTCATTCAACTCAGAATTCCTTGCCATTCCAGCAATAATTATCAGAGATTGAACTTTTATCACAAGATGGAATGAAGAGAAAAAAGAAAAATATTGAAAAATGAGAACAAAGGCAAATGCCTTAAGGAGGTGAAGAAGAAAGGGTTTAATATAAAGTTTTCTGGGAAGGCAATGAAAAAGTATGGCAACAAACACAAATATAACAATGAAATAAACATGTATTTAGTTTGCCTCTTTGTGCTTGTTTGGGAATCCATTTTTTTGCCTGTTTATATCACAAGTAAATGGGTTAAAAGATTGAAAAATGGGGAAACAAACAAAAAGCTAAATAGCAACAGTTCAATAACAGGAGAGAATAAAAAGAAAACAGAAATAGTTGAATTGAAAAGGGAAGAGAAAAAGAAAATTGAACTCGGAATAACATGGATTTACAGGAGAAAGAATATGAGTTGACACTGTTGCCATTAACTTTGTAAGCTTATGAACTTTTCTTCTTTGCTTCTGATAATGTGAATAAATAGTTGTACAGAAAATTGTTTAACATGTTGAACAATTTTTTTCTTTCAATTTTTTCGCCTCTTTTCTTCATTCCATGTTGACTGTGAAAAGATGATGATAAACAGGGAATAACAGGGAGTAACATGAATGATTAAAGGAAATGATTGAATTTGAAACAATTTGAATTGGTAACACAATTTCACAAAAGTTGGCCGCAAGCAAAACTCTGTCACTTAGTAACACAAATAATGATTAATGATAAACAACTAGTTTAAACGAAAATATTCAACATTGAGATCAAAGAGTTGACTCGTTTTCCAGGGAGTGAATAAATATGAGAATTTCTGTATTTTATCTGTTCTTTTTTGTTCAACTCCATTTTGTTGGATTTGTTGGCCATGGAAAATGGAAATTGAAAAGGTTGGAAATTTTTCCAAATCGAAAGGTTCGTTAGGTTCAATCATTCAGAGTCTTGGTTGTGTTTTATCAAATTTGATGTCGAATGGGAATTTAAAGTCAAAAATGAAAAGGTGAAATTGTTTGAATGCTTGGATATGAGAAGCCAACTCATTTTAGAATCGTTTTAACTGCTAATTTTAACCAATCATTACAAGTTTAGTTGAACGTTTTGCAATTTGTTTGGTTCAATTTAAGTGACTTGCAAGTCTTTTGCTTGGAGTTGACAAATTTTCTGCTTGTGAGAAGAAGACTGAATAATACCGAGAATTCTTACGAAACACTTGATTATTCCCAGACTAACTTGATAATCTGATTTTCTTTACATTTTTCTTTTCTCTATTCTCATTATCATTCCTACCATCCACAATGGGAAACAAGTAATCGGATAAAAAAGATCAATATCAATGCATTTGTTGGTTTATGGTCTTTAGAAGAGTTACAGTTAAGGTAAGTTATTTAAATATCATTTTCAAGTTATCCATTATTATGCGATATTTCATTTCAATCCTTACATCTCACAACTTAGACTTATCATGTTAACAAACCAATAGTGAATCATCTCACATCATTTTAAATGTTGAAAGTACGATAAATCAAAAAAAGTTTTCAAAAGAATTGATGGAGAATAAATTTTTTCTACTCATCATTTTATTATACAGAATGAGTGCTTATAAATTCTGAACAAATACAAAATCATTGTTTAAATAACATTATTAAAGATAAATCGAATTGATGTCATTAAAATCTAGTCCGAGTAAATTGAAAAAGGGGCATGTAATGCAAAATCTTCAAACAAAAGCACCTCCGTTAAACTTTTTCAATTAAGACACATATGCAGATTCTGAATGCGCTTGTTAAAAACTAGGTTTGTCTTGAAAATGGGCACTGTTAGCATTGTGGTTAGACTAGAATTAAGGCCAAAAAGTAAACCGTTTTTGAGTCAATCTCGCCAACGAAACATGATGGATGGCTGTGATATTTGGATGTGTTGTGATATTTCATTCTCTAATATGCATAAAGTTGCATATCTGTATAATGCTGAAAAGTTATACAAAGAGAGGGAATCCATATTTCAAAGGTCTATTCATATAACGTTCTAGAATAGCTGATTTGTCGGAAGCAGTATGCAATAAATTTACCCACGCATCATCGCGAATCACGAGATTAACAATCGGGCGAGATGAATGATAAAGCGGCCAACGCATTAATAGGTGGCTCAGCTTTCGTTAGAAAAATCTCTCCAAGCAGAAGAACTTATCAGCAGTTTCTAATAAGTTTTAAAGTTTAACATATTCTCAGAGTTTGAAGCTAAATCCAACATTGTTTTTTTGTGCCCAACTGTCGCCTTTTCACATTCAGTCACATACCTTGAAATATAATTTAAAACCTTTCTTTATATGTAATCGGCGCGAAATCGGTATTTCCTCTCCATACTTGAGTTACATAGACATTGTATCTAGCCATCTTATCATCGTTTTGCTGAAACTGTCAATTATCATTTTCTCTTACCAGTGTATCATTTTCACGAATATGTTTTGGAAAACCGTAGTAAAATTTCAGAACTGTGCTTATTCTCTCTGAATGGTTGAATGGTTAGAATAGCCGTTAAAAACTTACTTTTAAACAATTTAAAAAAGCACAAAAATACGTTTCCACCTTGTTGGTTTTTTTGACGTAAAAAGATGATGAAATAAGTATGTAGTATTGTTTCTAAACACGTTGGGACACTTTTGAGCATTATCATTGGCCTGACCTAATCAGGAGCTAAAAATCGTGGGTTAAAAATGACTCAAAACCGTTTGCCTTTCGGCCTTAATTGCGGACTATGGCCTTAACCATAATATTTACAGTGTTCAAGTTTCAAGACAAACCTAGTCTCTAAGCAAGCTCTTTCGGAAAATCATTACTTGAAAAAATTTAACGGAAGTGAGATTTTTCTTTACGTACCTCTGCAACATTCAATCAAATGTTTCCAATGAATTTATTTAATCAATATAAAAGTTATTTATTTGTGAATTTTAATTTTTTGACTTCAACCTTTTTGCGATCTTTTCTTTGGCTCGATTCTCCAATTTTTTTGACAAATGACATGCAACTTCACAATAAGATGATTCAAATCAGAATATAATTCAGTTAAACAAAATACTTTACGTTTATTCATTGCCTCACTCAAGTTTCACTCTTTATCTTTCCTTTCATTTGCAGAGATAATTTGTTATCTTATATGCCAAGTAAAGCATTAAGTCCATTGAATGCAACTCATACATTATATTTATCTGGTAATAAGTGGCATTGTGATTGTAAGATGCGAAACCTTCGTCAAATATTAATCTCAATGGAGATAATTGTACCTGACGAACCAAAGTGTTATAATTTTGATAAAATATGGACCAAATTAAGTAAGTACTTTTTACTCTTTTTTCAACCTTTCCAAATACAACTCAAAGTGTATCAATCATTATTCAAGGAAACAAGCAGCTTCCATCCCAAGCAATCAAGGTAATTTCATTGCAATAAAAAATGTAAGATTGAAAATTAGGACAATGAAGAAAGTGGATTAAGTCTTTGCACCAATTTTCAGCCTTGAATGAACGAATGAAGAAGAACTCTCGAGAGGTTTATCTCAATTGTGGTCATCTTAATGATGATTGCATTAGCTGTTAACGTCATAATATACAATATTTTTTGGCCCATTTCACTGTTTATACCAGCGATAATCAATAAAGCTTTTAATAAAAACAGAAGCAACAACAAGCTGAAACCCTGGAGAAAACTCTATTTCTCTCTCTTCATGATGCAAATAAAAAAATACACAAAATTGTGATGAATTTTGTTTTACATCCTTTCACCTTCATGTTCAACCTAATCTTTCATCTTCACTTTACATATGATTCTCGGTAAACTTTACTGTTTACTTTATCTTAATCACCCATTCCATGATAACCTTGATATGAATATTACCAAGTAAACCTTTGAAAGAGTTGAACATGAGTGATTCTATTAAATTGCCTTTCTTCATTTTCTCTTTTCCATACTTCATGTTGTTTTTCTCAACAAGCATCATCAACATCATCATCAAGATGAGAAGAGAAAAAAGAAGAAGAAGAAAAAATGAAGAGCATCCTTTTTGACTTAAAGGCATCTTAACAAGAAATGAGCTCATTGAAACACTCAACAAACTCTATTAGTCTTACAAATCACTTAGTTGACAAACTATTTGCATCTTTACTTGTTTCACCTGAACCCTTAACGTCTTTATTCATTGCTGTAAAAACCTCATAATCATGCACAAAAGTCCAACAACTGTTTCCATCTTCAATCAAAGAGCAAAATTTTGCAAGTTTACCAGAAACTCGATTGTTCATGGCAATGTTCACGAAAGTTTCACTTATATAAATATTAGTCTTATTAGTTTCATCTTTTTTTCTGGTGTTTCATCAACTTGATGAACTTGTTCATTTAAACACAAGGGAACTAATTAGGAGTCCATCAAATTGTAGGTAAATTGAAATATGATGAATGAAGAAAGGAAGAGGTAAGAAGAGAAGGAAGAAGAAGAAGAAAAAGAAATGTTTGATGAATGGAAAGAAATGAATTAGCAATGAATGATGATAAGATGATGGAAGGGAGGAGGCCAGTGATGAGAAGGAAAAGAGTTGAAAAGCTTTTCTCATTAGTTTTATGTTGATTCACTTTGCACTCTTTTGCCCTCTCTCATCGACTTGATCGACTTCATCTTCCTCTTCATTGTCTTCAATGAAAACAGACGAGAACAAAAGAGTTGATCAAAAGTAATGAGAAGTTTATAAGTAATTATAATGGTAATAATAATATAATAAAAGCTTTTTCACTTCGCGTGTTGATCTCAATTGTTAATCATAATTTGGTTACATTTTAGTTATGTTAATCAGACCAATTGGTTGCATTTTCAGTGAATAGAGAAATTGCAATTTTCTCTTCATTTTCGCCATTTTCTCTCTTCTCTTCTTTTGCATCTTCTTTGTTCATCATTTTTCTGTTCTTGCAGCTCTTCAGAGAGTTCATTTCATCGTATCATCCCAAATGCTGAGGAATATAAAGTAACCAGTGAAATAATTGATAGAGAAAATTGAATGAAGAATGAAGGTGAAGAGAAAAGGCAATTGAATTTTTGTTGCTAACTAAATGAATCATCAAAACTGGTTAACATGTTAATCAACATTCATCAAAATTCAGCTTTATTCTGCTTTTAATAAACTTTTAATATCTCATGGTAAAGGAATCAAGAAAAATATGTTAATTGGTTAAACTTGCGAGTTTATATTGAATGGAATTTCAACAGAATATTTAAACAGAGAAATCTTTTTTTCTCAGATCTAAACAGAGGAATCAGCTCAGCACATCAGGAAACAATCAGTTGAGCAATACTCAAATGGTTCAATTGCGTTATCATGAAAAAAGAGTAAATTTTGTTTCATATTCTTTCTTTGCATTTTCCCTGCCAACTTTTCATAATCAACTTTAATAAATTATTAGTTTTACCAAAAGTTGGGAAACATTCAGTTTACAATCTTTGACCAACAGAGTTTATTTTGGCTACCTGTCATGTTCAGGCAAACAACTCATGATTTAACCTTTTCATGTGTTTAAAAGTGCAAAATTTCAACTCAACTTCTTTCTCCAATCAAAATGCTCAACTTTTTCTAAGAATAAAATCTTTTATTGAAACACGAAAGGTTACAAAATTACATTTTCTGGCTGCTCATTTAAAATCTCAAACACAGTTAATACGGATTTCGCTATTGAAATGAAAGTTTTGTCCAAATTTTCGAATTATTTGCACATAATTTAGCAAAACTGCTTCAAATCGAACTCAATTTTTCCCTCGAAAAAAGCATTTTAAAAATTGTGAATAAATGTCGAACTGACCAAATCGAACGAATGATAACAGTGTCATTCGATAGAACATGCTCGATGAGATGAAAGTTCTTAAAAACAGATTCTTCTCAGAATGATCCTAACACAGAAAATGTGCTGAGAATTAAAAATAGCATTGAATACTTGAGTTTCTTGGAGTATTTCCTAAGCTTCAAAAGTAGATTCCAATGGCACCAGCTATTGAATGAAAAGCAAACTTAGCATGTTTTGGTAAATGAACATTTCTCCATGTTCTAAACATTTCATCGGTTCTAGTTGAATTTGATTTCCAACTTCGACTTTTGTTGAAATCTTGAAATCTCTGTTTTCTGTAGCTAATTCCCAGTCAAACATAGAGTTTACTTGTCTGATGCGCTTTCAGTGATTTTTGATTGAAGTGAATCTCTTTGTCGATTGAATGAATAAAATTTTAGAGCAAAATTTTTTCTGTCTTTAATCAAAATCAATTTAGACAATTGGTGTGTCTTGGTCTTGTTCAGAAACAATAATCTATTCGAATGAATGTTGGATAAATTGTTCTTCCTTGGCGAATCCATGATGACAAGGTTTGAGTTATACAGCATTGATTTGATAGCCTCATGGAAACAGCGTAAATGCTTATTCAGATCGATTCTTGTATAATATCCATTTTCTTGGTTTCCCTTGGAAATAATCTAGCAGCGAATTAACATTCCATTATCAAATAAATAATAATCAGCATCACCTTCCACCATGCTGCTGCTAATGATAAGGATAACAATTATATTGTCGCCATGCAACAATCCAATGAACAAGAGCAATTTCAATCTTTTTTTCTCAGCCAATCAGTTTTGTCTCTTAATATCACTGTTTTCATATTTGTTTTTACATGATGATGATGAAAAGGTGAAAATGGTTAACGATAAGTGAAGGAATGAGAAATGCTTGGACATTCCAACGTGAAATACAGAATTACAATTTTCTACAATTGAATTTGGTTGATTGATTCGCTCTCAAAATGAAATGGTTTCTCTGACAATCTCAATATCATTTACCTTTTATCATTGATTCAATTCTTGCATTTTGTTTCATCTTTACTAATCTCATCACAAGTCGATTTGTGAGAAAACACAATTTCCACATTCTTCATATTCATGACATAATCTGCTAACAAATGCTGATGAATGAATCAGATAATGAAGCAAGCAGAAAAAAAGGTGAATCATGATAATATTGAGAGAACGATCATTGAATATCAATTCAGTCAAGATAAACATTTGCATGAAAATTCCAAGTCATCGGGTGAAAAAGATTTGATTAAAAACTCGTCTCTTAATGAAATTAAGGAGTATGGGTAAAAATTCTGACTTTACCATTCAAGTGAAAATAATGTCTATTTGACTGAACCAAGAAAAGGAAGGCAAAAAAAGAATCAATTTTTTCTTTAAAGAAACAGCAAATCTTGAATCAATATTAAACTAAAACTAATTAATCATATTGAATATTCATTTGAGCAAAAAAGTTCAATAAATAATCTGAATCTCTTTCCTTCTCGACTCATTATTTCTCATCATTAACTGATAATCATTAATCTTTAAATGTAAATCTTTTGCCATTTCATTTTGATAACTTTTTTGCTCCTTTTTTCACCTAACATTTAACATCGAAGAGGTTTAATAGTTGATAATTGAAAAGTTTTTCAGAAAAGTTTCGAACTTGCAAATTCCATTGAAAAGTTGAACAATTAATTAACCAATGAATCAAGGGGTTTCCGGGTAAAGAAACTAATAGTTGAACAAAAATGCATCAACATTAATCTTTGTTGATATTTAAAGGTTTAAATGGTTAAAAGTTGGAAAAATTGTTTTACTTTGTCAGAATTGAAAGCTAATCAATGGTAAAGTGAAGGTTGAAGAGACGCAGGAAAGAGCAATCAACAGCTATTCTGGTAAACTCTTGAAGATATTTTGACCTTTTTTTATGACTTTTTCATCGATTCTTGTAAGTTTCACTGAATAACATTTTTGAAATTGAAAAGTAAAAAACAACTTTTTCTCTTCTCTTCTTCACTTTTAATCTTTTCTTTCTTTCATCTTCTTCTTCCTCGTAATAATGTTGTATTTATTTTTTACTTTTACTGTAAAATTCGTTGTTGTTTTCCTTCGCTCTCTTCAAGTAGTTCATTTTGAATTTAATAGATAAACTTGAAGAATCGTTAAGCCATGAAGATATAAATCTTTGAGAATTAAAGTGACAACAAACGATAAGAATTGAGAAACATTGAGATTGAATAGTAAGGAGAAGATGAAGAAGAAGAAGAAAGTTTAAGCATTTTTGGCTTTTTATTTTCATGGGTTAAGATGATGATAATGATGATCAGCAATGAGGATAAGAATGAGAACCTTTCTTTTCCATTCTTTACCAGCTATTTTTGCTTCTTAAATGGCCACATTAAGGTTAAATAACAGCCCATTCAAATGTTTCCGTCTCTTTCAGCATCTTTCACTTTCTTTCACTTTCTTTCACTTTCATCATTTTCATCATCAAAATGACGTTATTTATCTGCTCATCATTTTTTTCTTCGTTTTTTTCTTCTCCCATCATTTTAATACTTTGCGTCGCTTCTTTCATCATAATCAGTAAACTTTTAGCATCTTTCATTATCATCATGAATACGATGATATGAAAATGACTTGTTAACTTTTTTTTTCTCTCAACATTTAATCACTTTTGTAGTCTTTTTTAAACCCTTTCTGTTTGTCTCTACAAATTGCATTTTTTGTTGCTTCTTCAATTTTCAAGATTCAACATTTTCTAACGATTGATTTTGAATGGCTTTTTTTTGTTGCCAAAATTCATTTTTTTATTTCTTGCTGCCTCAAAAGTGTATTGTAATCATGTTACAAAAGGAAGCATCAAAGTTGAATGTGAAACATGAAAAAAATGATTTTCAATGTTTGCCTCCAATTTATCCGCAAATGTTCAATCTGATCAAAGTTATTGATCTTTAGTTTGAAACAGTTTGTCAGCACATATTTGACTGAATTGACTGATTAAAGGGAAAAAATTATCCACTTTATTGATCCTTCATTGGACTGTGTGTCAAATGTTGGCTTAATGTTATTCGAGTGTAAATCGGAAAATGTTTATTAACAACCAAATCAACTTTAATCATTAAGCAAAATTTTCAATTGGCTGCTTCATCTTCCAAAGGTTGCAACCTTACGAGTCAGATAAACTTGACTCTAAAACTTTGAGTTAAAGGTTAGGTTTGGTTAGGTTAGGAGAAATGTTTATCGGAATAAACTTTAGTCATAAAGTTGATCACCAATTGAAATAGTCGAACTGTGATAAGCCTTTTTCAATCGACAGTAATAATGCAAAATAACCTGATGATTAGTTTTTCACTTTAAACCTTGACTCAACCAAGTTGACGGTTAATCTTTGAGATTAAGCTTTCAAGTGAAATGTTAAAAAACCGTAAAAGCTTAGTGAACGTAAACTTTTAATCTCACAATTACTTGAGTTGTATTTGAAGCAAGTTTGTCGAGATTTTCAAATCAATTTTCAAAACTTTTCTCATGCAAATGCCTTTCTATTGCAGATCTTGATTCATTGGTTTGCCCGCCTCAAATTGCTCCCAATAAAAGGTAACTTTGATCGTAACAAAGAAAATTTCAAATGAGAAAAAATCGATTTTCTAATATATTTTCATTTCTCTTTTATTCCATTTCAGCCTTATCTATCGAATAGAACAATATAACAATTTTTCCCTGTCCTGTTCATTTTACATGGAAGATTCTCAGCCCTTAGCAATCAAATGGTACTGGCAAAATCGTCCAATATCCAACAATAGTGAAGGAATTATTCCAAATCAACATTTCAGGATAAAAGAAACAGACAATGAAGATAATATCGACGAGAATGGTAAACGAAGAAAGGTGAGTTGAACGGAGAAAATGAAAAATTTCAAATTCTATCGCAAAGTTTATCAATTAACATATTAAAAGTTCATCTATAATCGCCGTATTCAATGAAAGTTTCAAGCCTGGCGAACAACTGTTTTCAACAGATTCTTTGATTAATTGAGACTCAACTTTTCAAGGTTTTACTCTCATGTTGGGATAAGAGAAGATGAAGAAAAATGAAAAACAAAAGGTCAGCAAAATTACAATTCAGTAAGCATCAGTTGGGAGAGATTTCAAGTTGACCTTTTGTTCACTTTTCAATATTTTACTATGGAACAGGGGAAGAAAGACAAAAATCTAACCAACCAAATGAGTTTCATGGATCACCAGTCGTTTTTGTTGAGCTCATGTTAATACGATTTTCATTGCAATTTTCAAAGGCAACTTTAAACTTTCCTATTTACTATTCACATCACTTATCATTTTGGGTCAACTCAGTCCATCAATAATATTACATATTTTAGGGAAACTTTGCCTTTTCCATACAATTTTCATGCAATAAAAGTGGAAAATTTCATATTCCTAAAGGTGATAAAGACAAGTTGAAATGTCCAATTTCTTCTTCTTCTTTCCACAATTCATGATGAAATGACCACAACTTTTGAATAATCAAATTGTTTCACCAAAATTCATCTTTGGTCAGTTGAAAGCATGGAAAAGGGAAAAATCTCTTTTTTCTCAACTTTGTCAATATTGAAGGTTCCAAGTGAATAATGGCAAAACTTTGATTCCAACTTTTCCAGCTTTGATCTGATTTGAGGTTCGAAAAAAGAACAACATTTCCTTAGGTGTAATCTGTTTCAAATTTGATTGAATTTTAGTTCAGAGTTGAAAAGAGAAGAGAGAGAGAGAAGAAAAAATCTTCTCATGAACTTTGTGTTGATTGAATAAGAAAAAACTTGACCAGTTGAAACATGGCATGGTGATTGTGTATGATTATACAGAGAAACAGAGGAAGATGAAAAGGAAGATAAAAGAGAAAGTTGAATGCCTGAAGGAAAATGAAAAGTGATGAAAATAACTGTTCCAAATCAGTTTCTGTTTAATTTTGATCCAATCTGTTGGTCAACATGAACAAGCTGAACTTGTCGGTAAAAGTCTGATCAATGTTTTTCAATCTAAACCCAAGTTTCAATAATTTTCCATGTTCCTTGTGAAAGGAAAGAAGAGTTTTTTCAAACCGAATTACCTTCAGGCTGAAACATTGAACATTTGATTGAATACATTTGAACATTTAGGGCCAGTGAAAGGTTTGCGAACAGTTTTGTAAAGAGTGAAAAGAAAATCTTTTTTCCTTCTTTTTCTTGCTTTCACTCTTGTTCAATTAATCAATGTTTTTCCCTTTTATTTGCTTTAGATTCGTACATCTCGACTTGATATTACATACATTTTAAAATTAAATGATGGCAACTATTCGTGTTCAGCTAAAAATGATGCCGGTTCAGCTGAACGCAACTTTACCGTTGAAATTTCAACTTCCTTCAGAACCTCATCATTGGGTGATTCTCCTGCAGCCGAAGCCTCAATCGAACCAGGTTTACATCATGTTCATTCTGGATCAAAATCCATTTCTTCTTTGCACAATCCTTCTTCTTCTTCATCAACAACGTCCAACTCTGAGTCTCATACAACCCTGTACGGGCTCATCTTAGGTATACTTTTTGGTATTTTTATAACTGCATCACTTTTCGGTGCCATAATAATTATCTTTTGCCGTCGTCGGTCCAATCGTCGGTCAACTTTGGGAACAAATCGGGTGGTTGCCGCTGAATCGGAGCTCGAAAAGCTGACCACATCAACAATCAGTGGATCGACTCCATCAATACAGCCCATGGCTCCACCGTCTGTTGTCGATATAATTAATCCGATTCGTAAGCCTCCAAGACTTGGATTAACTGGTGAGATTTAATTTGCTTTTTTCCTTTACGCAATCAAATTAAGTGATCATGATTTTGATTTTGAACAGTTTGTAAAACAATATTCCACTAGTTCTTATGATATTTATTGATTGTTATGGGTCAATGATTCAGCTTTAATAAGATTTGATCTAATTTGAATGTTTAATAAAAGCATAAAAATTCTCGAGTTTTATAACCATTTTTGTTGAAATTGCTTTTTTCTCGAAAATATTTCCCATTCTTTGAATATTTTTGTCCGATTAGACAGTTCATCAAATTTTCATGTAAAGTAATCATTTTATGTGCAAATTCAACTTTCAGTTGACTTTTCAAATAAACCTCTTGAGTTGCTCTGAAAAGAGAATCTACTTTTCATTCATTTTATCAATAAAAATGTCAAAGGTCACTCTGAATTCACCTGCTAATAAAATTTTAAACTTTAATGTTCAGCTAAATAAAGTCGATCTAAAGCTCGAATTCCTTTAATCTCTTCCGTTGAATCACTCGAGATTTCACCCTTTTTATAATAACTAAAATTCATTTACTGTTCGATTGGATCTTGTCAAGTTCATCAATGCTAGGAAACTTGCTAAAAATCAATGTGATTGAACAACTAAACACACATTTTACTGATAGAGAAAAATTTGAGAAGCACAAATCTCTGCAAGTCCTCAGAACGGTTCTTAAAGCTAAGCTGAAATTTCGAACGCAAAAGTGATTCCTCGAATGTCCGAATTTCATACAGTGATCGCACATCTTTGTGTCAATACTTTCTTCAATGCAAACTAAGCGAACTGTTCTCCATGAAACAGTCTCTTGCTTAAGATATCATGCTTTTAAGAAGCTCAACACGAAAACGAGAAAAACTTGTAATTGATGGATCCTAATAACGTCACAGAAAAATGAATGAACACCGAAAAAACTTTAATGATAACATTGAAACTAAAAAGTGATTTAATATGCAAGATAATATTATTACAGAGCCATTATCATCTCGACAAGTGACTTTTTAATGGATCGACTAAAAATAATTTCACATTTTGTCTCTTAAATGGTTTACTTCTGAACAAGACACAAAAAACGAGGTGAAAATTGGCAGCCAAGGTTTATAATAACAGTAATAACGATAGTTTTTTTACTTGAAAAGTCAACTTTTACTTTATTCACATGAATTATAATTTTACCCTTTTTCCAGTTTCCTTACTGTAAAGGTTATTCCAAGCAGCTGAATCGCTTCATGCAATGTTTAGTCAGTTTAATCATTCAAACACAATATGAATTGCTTCTCAAGCTTAGTTGATGATGAACAGGGAAAAGAAAGAAGTTGCAATTGAAATGAAGAAAAGCAAAGAAGCTGAATAAGGAAAAGAGTTGAGTAAAAGTAAACGAACAGAGAAAAAAAGAAATTATTTTTTCTCTTTCGTCGAACAGAAAAAAAATGAGTAAAATTTGAATAACTTTCCATTAGAGGTTCCAATATTGACAAATATTTCATAATTTAATTTAATAATCTTGATGAATCCAGTCAATGGAAAAAGTTGAAAAGAAGATTGAGAAAAGTTCATTTTCGTCATTTCAACATTTCTATTCAACTGGATTCAATTGGATTCGTCAACGTTTAAAGGTTCGTTTGTTGACAAGATTTCGTTAATTGTTGCTTTGAGTCTTTCTTTGAATTGAATTCTGTAGTTTCGTCGGTCTTCACTGGAAAGCGTCTGATATTGAAATGTTTACAAAGTTCACAATTGACCGAGCAAATGATGAGCTTAGCAAAAGTCAACTCGACCGTAACTTTAATGCATTTTTTGCTTCAAATTGTTTTACTCTTTAGCTAAATTTTGTGCTTACCTTTGCTTTTTTTCGTGAATTTCATTCAATTCATTGTATTTTCTTGTTCATTTTAGTTGAATTTTATTCTTTAGTTGCTGTCTTCATTGCAATGGAATAATTTGATGTTCAAATTTATTCTCATGATTTTTGAGGAGTTTCGCTTGAAATGTGTAGAGCTGTTAACAGTCCTTTGAAGCAAATTAATGAAAGTTTAGTCTTTTAATGAAATTATTAAAGCTAATCTTGATTCTGTTCCATTTGCATGATAATCATATCATGTATGATGAGGCAAACTTTTTTCCCTTTTAATTTCAATCCATTTGTGGTTTAAAGTTACAAGGTAACTGTGGTGTAATTCAGGATAACTATTGTAGTAATTTTGTTTGCTGCTAATTAAATTATTTCATTGTCGAGTAAACAATTTCGCATTTTGATTTGCATTTAACTTTTAATAGAAAGTTGACCGATTTTCTTTACCATAAACAGTTAATGAGATGTTGATTGACCAAAATAAGTCAACTTTTGTTTGATTTTTCATTCTCTTGTGCTGACATCTATTGAGCAACTCATGAAGCTTTATTTATATGAATCCAAATGTTTAATCGATCATTGACAGAATCGATTTAGAGGTCAATTCAATTTCCAAAAGGATTTTTTTCGACTCAATCAACAGGCTTGGATTTATTGATTTGGTCAAATGGTTTGAATAAAGCAGAGTTTTTAGATCATTCAGTGATCTGAAAAGAGTTGAAGAAACTCGATCATCGATTTTGTTCGATGCAATCGTGAGTTAAAGATTTTTGCATAGATTTGGTTTCAATTCAACCTAGCCTAACCATAGTGAATATAATTTCAACTAACCAAGTAGATTTGATTATAAGCAAATTGTGCATCGTCTTAATTATGGATTTATCGGGAAGGTGATAGTAAAGAAGTGACTTATAATCAGTTTCTTGGGAGTAAATGAATAAAAAAATCGCTTATGTTGGGACATTTTTTGCTTATCAGTCTGGGAGTTCGACCTTTTAACAGCTCATTCAATCAATAGAGACAAAGTTGTAATAGTTTCTCTATCAGCGTTCATCAATCTCATTGAAATCGATTTTCGATTGCAGTCACCTTTTCGAAATGTTAGCCTTAAATGAACAACTTGACATGCGATATTTCGTCAGATAATCTCGTTTATCCTGTAAATGCATTCTTAGGATTGAGGTTATCTGATGCTAACTCCCAGCATAAAAGGTATAAAAATTGTTTCCCAAATAACGGTTTCGCTTCAAATTAAGGCAATAATTCAAGTCTCCATCTTTTGGTCCAAGTTTTTAATTTGCTTTCTTGGATTCAGTGAACATTTTAATCATTTATAATTTCGCATATCACTTCATTACCATAGTAGATCGACAACTGGTTCAGAAAAGAGTTTAAACTGTTAAAAAATCAGCCCTTTATTTACCTCTCATTTACTCTTTCCTACCCTCGATTAATTACAGCAATTAATCTTAATTCATCTGAAAGATAAACATTAAATCGCAAGTAAATCAAAATTATCCAAACCTAACAGTTTCCCTGATATTTGAGTAAACCAAAGGTGCGAGACAATTTGACAGACAAACAACAGTTGAAAGTATTTCCCTTTTTTTAGTATCAACATTACAAGTTGATTTATGATTCTAATTTTAATGATTGAAACGACGCTTTTTTATCCGCTAATAATCTCAAGTTGAGCTGAAACTTTGTGATTACACATAAATGAACTGGAAAATGTTTCCTGTTTTCATTACAAATGTAACATTGTCAAATTAATTATCCAAAATGAGGTGACAAATCAACAAGCCATTTTAAAAGGAAAATGTTCAACTGTAAAAGTGAAGCATGCAGAGAATGTAGAAAAAAAGAAACTTTAAATTCTATTTGAGTTTCCATTTAATATCCAAATTTTGGGCAAACTAAATTGGGTTAGAATTGAAAAATCCATAAACATTAACCAAAATCAAGTTTGCAACATTGGTACATTCAATTGAATTTATGCATAATGTTATCCATGCAAAAGTTGTTCAAACTTTGCTAATGTCTCTTCAATTGCTTCTGAATATTTATCCAATTTTTCCTCTGGTTAATAACAATTGAAAAATAACCATTAAAACAACTGAAACTGAGCCTTCATTTGATACTTGGAATGGTAAAAAAAATATTAAATTGAATTACACTTCAATTGAAAACCAAAACGACTCTTGACATATTTTCCAGTTCAATCCAATCTTCCAAATGAATCTACAGAAAAAAGTGAAACTTGCCTCAACAATAATAGTTGTAAACAAACCTTTATGAAGAGAAGCTCGTTGTTTGAAAACATTGAGTTATTAGTTATCAATAAATGATGATCATTCTGATAACCAATTAATAACCATCAAAATGTATTGTTGAAACAATATCAACTCAATGATTATTGATCACTTAATTTGGCCAGCTTTCGATATCAATGATGATTTACTCTTCCAGATTCACTTGATTATCTTTGTTCCTTTTCCTTTTCACTCATATTTTTTCTTTCTTTCTTTTCTCTTCCAGCTGGAGATGATCAAATATGGATGATGAAGCGTACAAGTTTCTCGTCAAATAATCCTCATCATCATCCTCACCATGCTCATAATCATCATCACATTTACCGAAATGATGGTGATGGTTGCTGCTGTGATACACCAATTCCAATCTATGAATATGAAAATAATCCAGATTTCAATACTTTTCCTGCCAACACATCATTAATAGGTAAAGTTGATCATCCAGTGTATAAATAATTTTGATACAATCATGTTTAGTCCATCAAATTGGTCAATAGAGGAGGATAGGGAATGTCAAGTTGATAATCAGTTTGCCAATGTCAAATCAAATTGTTGAAAACTAGTCAATTTTGCCCTTTCTTTGCCATCCATTCAATGGGAATCCACAAAAAAAGATGGCTCAAAATTAATACAATTATGGATACAATTCTTGTAGTTAATCGCTTTACAAGATTCAGCTTTTCCTGTTGAAACCAATGAAGCCTGAAATGAAAAAAACAAAGATGATAAATATGATTAGTATTAGGTGAAGGGCATAAAATGTAATATAATTTATATTTCTGTTCAACTTGGAAACAAAAAATCAATTTCTGATAACGTTTACAGTTTTGACAAAAGCAAAAAAACCAGCAAAGGCTTGTTTCTTAACCAGATTGATTGAAAAATAGCGAAGCTACACATTATTTATTATCAAATAGCATCAAAATGGTTGTTAATTTTCATCATGTTTCACCTTGCCTCATGTTTGAGTAGAGTTTTGAAAATCATTTATCAATCATTATTCATCTTTGGGTGAGAAAGAGAGGAAAATGGAGAAAGAATTCAAGAAAAAAAACTAGAAAACAGAGAAAAAATGAAATTTTTCAATACATCATTTTATTGGCTTTCAAAGTTTTACCTTGTCATGTTTATCACTATTCAACATGATTTTTATCTTAAAAATTCTTAACATTTATTCAATTACTCAATAGTATATTCATCTTCATCATCGTAATCATATTTAATCAACCGTTAATGGAATATAATTTTTCTTTCATTCATTCATTTGCTTTTTTCCACAATCAAAATATTCATCTTTCAACATTACTGATAACTTCAAGTTTTATTAGTTTATCATGCTTGCTTCTTCTTGCTCTTTATTCAACTTATATTTTTGTTTTTTTTTCTTCTCCTTCAATCCTTCCCTGTCTATCTCTGTCTTAATGTTTGCTTGTAAAATGGTTTTTACATAATGGTTTGTTATTCAAACATGATCAGGATAAATTGAAATGAATCTAATCTGATGTTTTCTAGACTCTTTTTTTCGTCATTTCTTTTTCTCGCCAATCATTTTATTGTGAATCATTTTCACTTTGTACTTATCATGAGTTGAATATTGAATAATCATTGTTAGCTGTGGTTATTCAATAATCACATTTTTGTCTTGTCCAAGCAAACTTTGCCATTTCTTGAATGTTATTTTACAATACATTTGAATTAGAATAGCATTTCCATTGGTCATCATTTCTTTGGTCATTCAATTTTGTTTTTCCTTTTTTGGCTTCTCTTGATTCTTTTCAATATTTCCACCCATTTTGCATTCATTTACATCAATTGATACTTTGTTATGTAAATTAGCCATTTCAATGTCTTGTATTGGGTCTCATATTTGATCAAAAATTGTTGTCCCTCCTTGTTGGTAACCAATGGATGAAAAATTTTGTAACCACTGTGAATGCTTGTCGTTCACTTGAATTATTAATCTGATCAGTTTTTCGTTGTTACAAGCTCTCCGTTATCAGCCAGAAACCAATAAATCTTTTCAACTCTCCTCTCCTCTTTTGGCTCACCTTTTATCTTTTTTTCATGTTGAAATCCAAGAACATTCATCTTCACATATTTTAACTTTATTTCTCATTCTTCTTTTCTTTTCTTTTCGAAATCCGTTTTCTTTCTTTTCGTTTCTCCAGGTCCTGATTTAATCCATCATCAATCAGCTTCTGAGAGGAATCACAAAAAACCAAGTGAAGAAGAGATGAGTATACATTCAGATGGAACTGAAGTATGAGATATCAAAAAGTATAAACTGAATCAAAAACCATTCTTAACAAGACCCAAGGAGAAGAAGCAAAAAATCTGGAGAAAAAAAACAAGATCTGTAAAAACTGTGGATGGAAATAGACAAGAAAAATGTGATAAAGAAGAAGCAAATCAAAGGAGAAGAGGGGAGGATGAAGGAGTGAGAAAAGGAGGATGACGATGATGAAAAGAAATGGAAACAAAAAAGTATAAAATGCAATCAAAAGGCTGTTGAAAAGGCTGATATCTGAGGATAAAAAGATGGAGAAAGAAGAAGATGAAGAGCAAAGGGATGCAAGAAAATATTGTGGATTAAAAGGATTCCCCATCATCTCAAGCTTAATTTGTTTCCCTTATTCTTTTCAAATTCTCTAACTATTATTGCTATTACTTTCATTTCTATCACATACTCTATTCAGTATTTTCTTAAGATTACTCAAGTAGTAATGGAATTTTCTTTCCAAAGCTTCAAACTGTGAGAACTCAGAGAGAGAGGGGGAGAGAGAAAGAGATACAAAGAGAGATTATCATGGAAATGGGTCTGGAAACGAGGCTCTTTTTTTCTCTCTCTTCATTTTCTTCTTCTTTTTATTCCTTTCGTTGAGTATATCTCATAACATAGATGTGATAACAGGGAATGTGATGCAGGATAAATACAAGCGAAGTGATAATCACATGTATATAAGGCCTTTCAATCCAGAATGGGCTTAGTCTTTACAGCGTTTCTCATCATGTGAATTATCATCATTATCATTTCTTTTCTTTTTTCCTTCTCTCCTTTCTCTTGTTTCTTTATCATCTTGTGATTCGTCTTCTGCTTCATCATCATCACAAATATCATATTGATCTGTATTCTTGAATCTTTTTCCTTGAGCTGGAGCAAAACAAAAAAAAACAAGGGGAAAAGAGCAACAAGATGTCATTACTGAACTGTTTTTGACACTGAACTTTACTGACATTTTTGGTTAAAAAGAGGAATAATAAGATTCTCAAGGTCTAATTAAGGCAGTGAAATTGACGGATAAAGATTGGAAAGAGGAAAAGCTCTGATGAAAGATTTACCCAGAGGCTTGGGAGATCTGGTTAAGAAAGGAGTCAAGAAGGAAAAAAAAGATGAACCTTGAGATGAATTCTTACAATACCTCAAACTCTTCTCTCTGTTGACATTTTATTTGCCTGATCAATTGTTTGTCTTTTTCTTGTCTTCTTCCATCTCTTTGCTTGCTATTAACATGATATATAACCATCATGAATCAGTAATCTGTAAGGAATTGGCTGCCATTCTTAATGGAATTGAGCGTTGTTTCTGTGAGTTGTTGTTTGTTGGTGAAATTTCGTTGAAAACTCGAGAACATCCAATGCTGATAATGATGATAAATATAATAAAACAAATGGAGCAAGCTTAAACGCAAAATCTGGAAAGAAAGGAACAACATTAACAATTAGTGATTCAATTGAAATAACCAGAACCAGTAAACAATTCAAACGATTGCTTCAAATAAGACTTTGATCAATATTAAACTGATCAACGTGAATTATCATCACCATCGTTAAATGAAAATTGTGAATACAAATGTATATATTTATAAATTCAAGTTCAATGAATAAGAATGGCTATTGCTACCCTGTATCTAAAATTCATTGAGTAATGTAAAGAAATATGATGGTCTACCATTTCCATGTAAACTCCGCTACCATTTGTAAATGTATTCAGATTTGTAACTAAATTTTAACAAATTATAATGACATAAATATAAATATATATATTCAAAGATATAATCAAAATACCGACTGAAAATGTTCCAATTTGAATTTTTCCGTTGAAAAGAGACATCGTCTGACAATTGTTGCAACAGTTTGTCAACAAGATTATTGTAATACCACTTTACTTTACACTGTCAAAAGCTGAATAGTGCCTAAAATAAACAAGAAATTGTGGAGAAATGAGAAAAAACATCAATATTAATAACAGTGACGAGTAATAAATAAATTATCAAAATCTCAGAGATTTCACTTACCTTAACAAGTGATTTATTTCGCGTCTACTTGGACGAAACCAGCCTTGAAGATTTTAAAGATGTAGTTTTAACGACCATGAATCTTTAACCCATTCCCGAGAAATGAAAACCTGATTGATAAACACATTTAAAAACAATTTAGCTAGAACACAGTAAAGCTTCCCATTGATTCACAATGGGTCTTGTTTCATTCAGTCTTGTTTTAGTATTAACTTTCTTCCGTTCATTAAACACACACAAATTAATCAAATATTGAATCTTCAATGAAATGTCTGTTAAATCGAAAGTCCTACAGTGATCTATCTCTAAAGTGTTTAGTGCTATTGTGGACCGGCCAGCCGCGACAGCTTTTACGGCGCCTTTATCCAGCTTAGTTGGGAATCCAGGATGGGGGACTAGGTTAGTTCAGGGGGCTTAACCCTGGTAAGCTAGATTCACTGTATAATTCCAAAACACCAGGACTTGGTGAGATTCGAACGCTAACCCCAAGATGCAAACACAATATGTGAAAGTAAGCAGTCTTATCGCAACCTCTAGCAACTGGCCTAACTGTTAGAACTCTGTTAAGTTTCTTTTTACTCGTTCATATCTGTAGGATCTGCGACAAAAGCTCGTTAAATACAAATGCAAAGAAACTCAAATTTCCTTGTTCTTTACTCCTCGATTTGACATCTCGTTACAGAAACTTAAGGGAAAGATCACTGTATTCAACAGAAAAACAAAACATTGAAAATGGTTTGCTATTGAACTTGTATCCACATCAACTGATATCCATCCAACAATTAATGAAACAAAACAAACATTAAAGGTAACAATCAAACACTTTATACTTAAAATGTATTAAAATCGATTAATAAATGATTTCATTAAAGACCAACAATCACAAAAGCTATCACAATTTAACTGAGAATGTCTGACTGTAAGTTATTGCAATTAAACAACACTAATGAATGAATCAATAAGTCTCTCTTGTAATTAAAGGTTAAACTATTCATAAATTATCAGCAAATTGACAAGTAATTTTTGAATGACATTAATTGAGCGATTCATTTCATTGGCAATTAAATTAGTTTAATGATTATTAACTTTGATGAAGTTTAATTTATCATTTCAATTTAATGAACTTATCGATTACCAGTGGTATTTTAGAACAATGAAGTCGAATGACTTATTGATTTGAAATTTGTAGCTTTTATTTCGTTAGATTACTTTAGTATCTCATGAACAGTTAAAAGTACTACTGAACATGAAGATTTCAATTTTTTAAATAGCTTTTAAAATAACACAACGGTAACCAGAGCAATCGGTATGCTTGATGAGCCTCTGCTTAACAAAAATTTGAAATATCACAATTTTTTTAAGTTTCAGGTTTACTCGAAGTTTAAGCAAGTGTTCATGGCCATGTCGAAAGGCAATCATTTGATATCGAAATTGATTCGTTTGGTGATTGGGTTTCGTTCAAGTGATGTTGAGGATGAAGTAGCAATCAAAGATTTAAAGAAACTAGAATCAATCTGTATTTCCTTCAATATTTTACCAAACGGCTTTTCCCAAGATCCAAGTGTAACACCATCAAGATGGACTACAATCAGATCGATCCTCTACTTCAGTCTAATGACTGTTTATATCACACACTTAATCTTGTTGAGTGTCTTTGATTTGCCAGACGAATGGCTTCTTGTTCTTGGTGACTTTTTCTATGGTCATCCAAATCGTCGATTTTTTTGGCTTTTCTGTTTGAATACGTCTATTTTCGGAGAAGTTTTGAGACACTTATGGATATTTATTGTTAAAAAACATTACTATGCATCCCTGCAATTACAACACTCAATATATTCTGAAGGATTCAAAAGAGAAGTTCTATTCATGAGTCAATTTTATTGCCAAAAGTTTCGGTTTGTTGCCACCAATTTAGCAGCTCTGTGGGTTAGGATAATTCTGTGTGTTTCAATCAGTTTAGCTCCAATTTTTATCTTCATCGTTCATTCAGTCTCTCGACTACCGAAAACATCTGAACAGTATGTTTACATTGGCTTTTGGCTTCTGGTCAATTACCTCGGACTTGTTTGTACCTTAGTCAGTATAATGTTGCCCGGTGCTGTGGTTACAATTCAATTGTCTTACTTTTACTTTAAGGCTTCTTCTGTGGCTCGAACTGTCCAAGATCTTGCCATGAAGCGAGGAAAGCTTAGCAAGGTCGAATACTTGCTTGAGTACAAAACTACTCTTCGTGAGATTATTCAATATCAGAATGAAATTGAAAAACTCAACCTTCGCATCAGAAACTGGCTCATATTCCTTTACCTCGGAATTTCTTTCGATACAAATTTTGGAGCTTACATTGCCGTTTTCGTTCACATTGATCGCGGATTTATGGACCTTTTCATTGCGGGTATTTCCATCATTGGCCTTGTATCCATCGGAGCCTGTTCATACACTAATGGAGTCATATTGACGAAGGTAACAAATTCATTTCCTAAGTTTCTTCATTTAATGAGATTTCATTCACCTTTAGATGATCTCTTATTGTAAAAATTTGAGGAAAGCGACTAGATGCTTGCAATTGAATCCAAAGGCCTTTATAAAGGTAATACCGAAACATTTGATTCCTCTATAAAAAAACGGAGAATTGAATAAACTTTTAATTTTCAGGGAACTGATCTACAAAGTCGACTCTCGAGGACTGATATAGCGTTTACTATCGGTTCACTTTTCGACATGACGTCTCGAGTTTTTGTGATTGTGAGTATCAATTGATCAATTATATTTAAATTAATAATTTGACCTTCTCTTTCAACTTGCAGTATCTGATTGAAAATATTTGCCTGATAATGATGTTTGCAGTGAACTTACGATAGACTGATGAAAACTGTTCAACACTCTGCATTGTCTTATTGACTAAAATAATAGTAACAAATGGAACCCACGCACCTAGCAAAGTGAGACCTGAGGTTGGGCAAACTCATCAAGGCTTACCCATAGCAAACTCTCTGGCAACCCTCTTCCTCTACCCTGGATTTGTCAAACTAGCAAATGTGTAACCAGCGTTAACCAGAAGCCGGTGCGATCCCTGTCCAAAAACCAATAAGCTAGTACAAACTGCGAGAGGTTTTACTGTATAATCAAAATACCGACTGAAAATGTTCCAATTTGAATTTTTTCGTTGAAAAGAGACATCGTCTGACAATTGTTGCATCAGTTTGTCAACAAGATTATTGTAATACCAATTTACTTTACACTGTCAACAGCTGAATAGTGCCTAAAATAAATCAAGAAATTGTGGAGAAATGAGAAAAAACATCAATATTAATAACAGTGACGAGTAATAAATAAATTATCAAAATCTCAGAGATTTTATACTTACCTTAACAAGTGATTTATTTCTCGCCTATTTAACAAACGCTGAAGATTTTAACGATGTAACCTTAAAGACAATGAATCTTTAACCCATTCCCGAGAAATGAACAACTAACATTTAAGTTGTTTTAAACAACTTAAAAAATCACAATAAAACAAAAAGCCGTTACATTGAAAAAGCTTTAAAAACTCAAATTGAGTTACTCAATGTTACTCTCCCCTCCTTAGTTGAAAAAAATCCGACAGATGTCTCAGCTTGATTGTAAATTGTCAGATTGACTGTAAGAGTTTGATTTATTTTGGTTCATTGATTATCATGAAAAACAATTGGGAACAAAAGGTGACAAGAGAAGCAGTAAACTAAAATTGTAGTAAAGAGTTAACAATTAATTACCAACTAATCCAGCGAACCATAACGTATCCAGCAATATGAAAAGCTTCCCATTGATTTACAATGCGATATCATTCAGTGTTGTTTTAGTAGCCATTATTAACTTCCTTCCGTTCATTAAACACACACAAATTAATCAAATATTGGATCTTCAATGATTTCAATGAAAAGGCCAGTTAAATTGAAAGTCCTATTCAACTGGAAAACAAAACTGTAACACTTGAAATAACATTGAAAATGGTTTGCTATTGAACTTGTATCCACTTCAACTCGATATCCATCCAACAATTAATGAAACAAAACAAACATTAAAGGTAAAAATCAGACACTTTATACTTAAAATGTATTGAAATCGATTTGGAAATTTAATAAATGATTTCATTAAAGACCAACAATCACAAAAACGATCACACGGTCTCACTGTAAATATGACAATTAAACATTACTAATGAATGAATCAATAAGTCGCTCTTGTGATTAAAGGTTAAATTGTTCATAAATTATCAGCAAATCAGCAAGTAATTTTTGAATGACATTAATTGAGCGATGCATTTCATTGGCAATTAAATTAGCTTAATGATCATTTATTTTGATGAAGTGTAATTTATCATTTCAATTTAATGAACTTATCGATTTCCATTGGCATTTTTGAACAATGAAGTCAATTGACTTATTGATTGGCTTTCATTTCATTAGATTGTATCGCATTAAATGACAATGAAAAGTATCACTGAACATGAAGATTTCAATATTTTTAAGTAACTTTTGAAATAACACAACGGTAACCAGAGCAATCGTATGCTTGATGAGCCTTTGATTAGCAACAATTTGGAATAAAACTTCAATGAAATCTCACAAGATTTTTAAGTTTCAGGTTTACTCCAATTTGAAGTGTTCATGGCCATGTCGAAAGGCAATCATTTTGTATCGAGATTGATTCGTCTGGTGATTGGGTTTCGTTCAAGGGATGTTGATGATGAAGTAGCAATCAAAGATATAAAAAAACTCGAATCAATCTGCATTTCCTTCAATATTTTACCAAACGGCTTCTCTCAAGATCCAAGTGTAACACCATCAAGATGGACTACAATCAGATCGATCCTCTACTTCAGTCTAATGACTGTTTATATCACACACTTGATCTTGTTGAGTGTCTTTGATTTGCCAGACGAATGGCTTCTTGTTCTTGGTGACTTTTTCTATGGTCATCCAAATCGTCGATTTTTTTGGCTTTTCTGTTTGAATGTGTCTATTTTTGGTGAAGTGTTGAGACACTTTTGGATATTTTTAGTTGAAAATGGTCACTTGACGACTCTGCAACTGCACCATTCGATATATTTAAAAGGATACAAAAGTCAAGTTCTATGCATGAGTCAATTTTATTGCCAAAAGTTTCGTTTTGTTGCCACCAATTTAGCAATTCTGTGGGTTAGGATAGTTCTGTGTGTTTCAATCAGTTTAGCTCCAATTTTTATCGTCATTGTTCATTCAGTCTCTCGACTACCGAAAACATCTGAACAGTATGTTTACATTGGCTTTTGGCTTCTCGTCAATTACCTCGGACTTGTTTGTACCTTAGTTAGCATAATGTTGCCCGGTGCTTTGGTTACAATTCAATTGTCTTACTTTTACTTCAAGGCTTCTTCCGTAGCTCGAACTGTCCAAGATCTTGCAGTGAGAAGAGGCAGGCTAAGTAAGGTTGACTACTTGCTTGAGTACAAAACTACTGTTTGTGAGATTATTCAATATCAGAATGAAATTGAACAAGTCAACATTCACTTCAGAAACTGGCTCATATTCCTCTACCTCGGAATATCTTTCGCTACAGATTTTGGAGCTTACATCGCCGTTTTCGTTCACATTGATCGCGGATTCATGGACCTTTTCATTGCGGGTATCTCCATCATCGGCCTTGTATCCATTGGAGCCTGTTCATACACTAATGGAGTCATATTGACGAAGGTAACAAAAGCATTTCCTAAGTTTCTTCATTTAATGAGATTCAATTTCACCTTTAGATGATCTCTTATTGTAAAAATTTGAGGAAAGCGACTAGATGCTTGCAATTCAATGCAAAGGCCTTTATAAAGGTAATATTGAAACATTTGATTCCTCTATAAAAAGACAGAGAATTTGATTGACTTTAATTTTCAGGGAACTGATCTACAAAATCGACTCTCAAGGACTGATATAGCGTTTACTATCGGTTCACTTTTCGATATGACGTCTCGAGTTTTTGTGATTGTGAGTATCAATTGATCAATTATATTTAAATTAATAATTTGACCTTCTCTTCCAACTTGCAGTATCTGATTGAAAATATTTGCCTAATAATGATGTTTGCAGTGAACTTACGATAAACTGATGAAAACTGTTCAACACTCGTCATTGTCTTATTGACTAAAATAATAGTAAAAAATGGAATCCACCAACCTAGCAAAGTGAACAAAATATTATATTACGATTATTTCAATTCAGGCTCAAGATGCTAAATTATTTTTGATAATTTTGTCCAATAAAATAATTCAAATCGACTATCAATCAACCGACTGGAATTTAAGATTAGCGCCTCAGTCAACTTTTAATCTCTTCATTTCAGTACGGACTTATTTACTTATGTTTTAAAAGTGACTTCGGTAGTTAATTTGTTATCTAAAAATGAACAATTAACAAACAGAAAACTTCGTTGTTAGTTGACAAAGTGAACGATAGATGGCGAGCTTTGTTTAACTTTGAATGTTAGTCAATTGTTGTTAAACAATTGTAAGACTGACAATTGATGTTGATTGTTTCATTAAAATATTCAGAATTTATAATGAAATTAAACTGAAGCAAGAAATTGTTAAAGAAAATCGTTTAATGGTAAAATTTGCCTTGCTAATGAAAGATGCAACAGTTGAGAGTAAAACTTGAATTGAAGTCCATCAATCAATCGACTATAATAACTACAATTAATCGTACAATAACCATTAGATTAGTTTACAGTAAACAGATTAAAAATAATTGTTCCCAGGTTTGTTGGTCACTTCCTTCCGTCAAAGACTAATCAAAGTAAATCTAATCTCAACACTCAACACAACCGCCTGCAGTTACAATTAAATCAACATTTAAAGTCAACTACTAATGTTAACAGAGTTGTAAAGTAATGTAAACTTGTCCATTTAAGTTGATCAATATCTCTACTGACCAACAGCGTTCATTTAGATTTACATGTTTCTGTTTTGCAGTTTACGTTTGATTAATTTCATCAACTTTTGAACAATCAACGATAATTTCAATGTAAATCTCAATTTTGAAACCTTCAAGAAATTAATGAGCTTCTTCTTTAAGGAAAGAGATTATTGATTTTGGGTTTTTTTGGGTCAAAAGTGAAACTGACCCAGTCTTTTAGGGTCTTTTATGATCAACAATCAAAAGGAAGATTTCACTTTTTATCAGATTCTCTTCATTGGATTAGCATGATGGATCATTATGATAATCAGAGTGTTGAAATACGAATGTTTAGTCTGTTTAATTTGTGCTAATTGTGGATTGAATTAGTGGGATTAATAATGTAATCTGTGATTGGTTTCAACATTGACTTATGAACCAGAATTTTTTTTCTGGTTAACATCTTTAAAGTAACTCCATCTTTTGGGTTATTTACTTGACTTGTGTGTTATCTCGTTTCTGGTTCATTAAAGATTAAGATTAATAACTTCTATTATGATAATAATGATAATAATCATGATAATCAGGATAATTGATTCCAATTGAAACAATAAGTTTGATCCTTTCATTTGACCAGGAAAGGAAAGCCAAGAAGAGAGAGAAAAAGGAAAACGAAAATGAAACAAAAGGAAAACTGGATTCTATTCAGATTCATCATTTTCTCAGTTTCATTTCCTTTTCAGCCTGAGGGTAACATGAAACGGAACTCGGTTGATCTGGCAAGCCCTAAAAAATGGTGAAATTATTATTAATAAATCCAACTGGAAACATTTGATTAGAAACTAAAATAGTGATGAATTAATTAGATATTAGTTGATATTAAAAAAAGAGTGAAAATGGTTATAAATAAATAGGCGAATCGAATCAAAATTAACAGTTACAATCGACTATTAAAATTATCTGATTAACATCAAAAATATAATTAAGAAAAGGAAAAGTCTTGATCAACCTTTCAATCTAAAGTTCCCCAACAGTTGAATTGTCAAATGTAAATCCTATGAGAAAAGGTTCGCAACCAGAAACCCAAAAAATTGGGTTAATTTCATTTTACATTTTCTTTTCATTAAACATCTCATAATTGTAATTATTATTAGCAACAATTAACTCAATTAAAATGATTAAACAAAGTGTAATGTTAAAGCAAACACTTGTAACCAGAAAAGACAAAACAAGTTATGAAAAGATCAACGAAATGAAGAGAAACGGAAAAACAATGAAAACATCTTTTCTCTGGTTTATTGTCTTTACCTTTTAATTTGATTAATTAACCCAATCAATGAAGACTAATTGCGAATAATTTACCAAATTAAAAGTTGATTGATTAAATGTTTACCTTTAAAAAGAAGTCTTAAAGCTCGACGACCTTTTCTCGGTGTTCAATCAGTTTGAATAATTTGACGATAAAAAAAGCGTCAACTTGAGTTCAATCCTTACTGATCAATTTTCATCCTCTTAACACCAAAACTCGTTTAAGAATATTGAACTTTTCTCTCAACGTATACACACAAAATTCATCTCCATCTTCATCATGATGTTCAGCAAGTCATTTATTGAGAAAATCTTGATAAACTATTTTGATTGATAAAAATTCATCTTCATTCCTCTAATGATGAAAATACTTTTCACTTTTTTTTTTCGTTAAAAAAAATGTTCGTTTCATCATTTTCCATTTTCATCATCATGATCGCCGTTACTCTTCCTCATCTGATCTAAATAACTGTCTTTTAATATTAGATTAATATGGATTAACATTTAATTCACTTTACCAAAAATCACTTTCACTTGATTTGGAATCTCATTTCCAGCTTTACTTGCGAAACCAAAAAAAGTCTTTTTTCTCATTTCAATGATTTCTTACCTGATCATTAATTGCAATATTATTATTCAACTGCAATTATATTTATTCATCATTTCTATTTGCAATTTTCTGGTTTCGACTCAAGCTGAGTTTATCAATCATCACCTTACCTCAATTGATTGGGAGAAAGCAAATCATGTTTAATCAATGTTTACTTCGTGTTTCGAATGTTAACTTTTTATCTTTTGCTTTCCTTTTTTTACTGTAACAATTGAAATTGTCAAATGGTCCTTTTCATCTCACTTTGAATACAAAATTGACATGAAAAATGATAAAATGAACACAAAAATAATCAATTTCAACACTCGATTCAGCAAGAAAGAGTAAACATTAAAATACAATTTTCGTTGACATTTGTTTGTTCCTCCAACAAACCTAACCCTAAATGTACGAAAAAAACCTGACAGTTGAAAATCATTTGAAATCAGTGAATGTTGGTAATGATCACAATCAAATTAGATTCAAATTTTGACAATTCAAGGTTCCATATTGAAACAACTTCTAAATCTGTTTTGCTACCAATAATAAAACAGCGCGATAATTTATCAATAAATCAAACTTAGAAATAAGAAAATAATTTCAATAAATTTTTCTTTAAAATACAACTTTAATAACAAAAAGTTGAAACAGTGAAGTGGTTTCTTAAACAGTCCATAGATGGCAATCATAACCAATGAAAATCTGCTTTTACTTTTCAAGTTGAGACTTTTATTTTATGCTTGGTTTCCAATTCAATTTAAGTGATTTAATTTGCTATTATCAAATGTTGTAATTAGATTAAACTTGCAACTTTCATCGATGTCTACTTTGGACTCTTTTTTGACTCGACATTCATCTATCTCAAGTAAATATGGATCGAGTCTTGTGGTTTGGTAAAACATGGTTTGGTCAAGTCCAAAGAATTGTCTTGGTTGAATTGGGTTAAGCCTTTCATCTGTCTATTTGTATGATTTAATTGATGATTCAATTTAGTGAATTGCTTGTTCTTTGTCAATTAGACGAAATTTGAATTGTCCAACAAAAAATAAAGGCCAATTGATGAATTACAATTGACTCCTTGGCCTAAGCTCAGATGAAAATTGGGTTTCTTCCAATGTCTTTCACCTGATGTTTGCATTGCAATGAGTTGGCTGTGCTTTGAATATTTCGAGATCAAATTAACCAATTTATTGATTAAAATTTACATCAATGTGTGATGTTGAACAATTGGCCGTTTCAATCGATTAATAAAATCATGTAATTGATTTGTCAACAGTTTTGAATGGTTATTGGGATTGAAAAAAATGCTTTAATTGGTAATGAATTTGGTAAAATTGTAAGCAAAAAAAGAGGTAAACTAAAAAAGAAGATGTTAATCACATCAATTAGAGGCAAATTTAAATGGTAATTACCATTTTCCCTGAACTCATATTTAACCCAATTTCAAGTTTGTCTTCAATTGTGATTAAATTGATTTAAAGTTTGTAATTGAATTATAGTTGTAAACCTCAAGGCCTTTACTTGATTAAACAGCCTTTTTTGTACCGTAAATGAATAATAAACAAACCAAGAGAAAAGTGTAATCCTTTTTTTAAAATGAAAGGTAAAGTGAAAACAAATTTCAAATCTTTTATTGGGTCGTTCAACTTTTACATTTATCAATAATCAAATGGCAATTCTGGAGGTTTTAATGAAGATGATCTGATTTAAATTAAAAGTGAAACTTCCTTTTGACTGTTTACTGATTACCAGCAAAATACCCTAAAAGACTGGGTCAGTTTCACTTTTGACCCAAAAAAAAAGTTTATCCCAACACCAATAATTGCTTTCCTTAAAGAAGCTACTCATTTATGTCTTGAGGGTTTAACAGACTTAATTGTATTTGCATCAATTAATCTTAATCATTTTGCTCATTCGATTCGTTTTTTTCTGCAAATTTGATGAACGGAAGGAAGTGACCAAAGAATTGACAATTAGCTTCGATTAGTGATTGATTGGCTTCATTGGATTGGCTCAATTCCACATGGAAACTAGTCTTGGACTGATGTCGTAGATTCCAGCATCTTTGATTAAAAAGTTGAAATTTTGGTGATTCTTGTAGGCATCAAATGGTTTAAATGTTATCCTTTGGTTGTAACTATCATTTACTGAACACTTCCAATCGAGTGATTCCAGTGGTTCCTTGTAAACGTCAATTATAAAGGTGTATCCGGGTGACAACGAGTCTTCTGTAAGCGTCTCATTCCGTGATAAACATTTAATGGTTACATTTTCATCTGAACGGTTATTTTTGAATCGAGCAATTTCACCAAATCTAAAGGCACAACCAAGATATAATTTAGTGTGATACTCCAAGTTACTCTTAATTGTACTAGAAGTTGATTTTTTATCACAATTGGGATAGCTGGTTATAGCTGACCAAACGATTCCAATTAAAGACAGCAGGTAAAGGCTAAACATGTTGTCGGAACAATTGTTGCTCTTCATTTAACTAGACTTGGCTTGTTACATTGCTTTAATTTGATCAACCGCTCAATTAATCATTCAATTGATAACTCAATGAGACAGTTTAACCATTAATTATAAAACAATTGCCACCATTTAGATCACTTGTTGCTCAAAATCCAGTGAAGGTTAATCGCTTGTTTACCAGTGTTTCCATCAATACCTATTTTTGGGTTAATTGAACATAATTAATGAAGCGAACGGATGGAAAAAAAAGAAAAGACCAGAAAATGTGAACATTGCCATCTATTAGTCGTCCTGTGAACTATAAACATGTTTGAGTTATTGGTTGTAATTGTCATTATTAAACCACATTTCCGAGACATTTCCAATTGAAGGTGATCGAGTGTGAAGCGTTGGGTTAATTGTTTAGAGTCTATTCCAACTGTTTTAATGAAGATTTTGAAAATAGTCAAATGTCCATAAGATGTATTGATGTTATCAAGTTAGCACTTTTGGTTCACTGAGAACAGTCGTAAGTCGTCAACACTAGCCATAGCTATTGACTAAATGGCCATCTTTGGAGATTTCATTCGATGTAAGTCACTTGGTTTAACACTTTTTAAGTACGAATTAACACAATTAAGCTGGTTAATTTCAAAATTATGTTAGATGAAGACAATTAAACGAAAATAGTCTTGTAATTGTGCAAAAAAATCAAACAAACAAAACAAAACAAATCACTTTAGTGAGCCATCTATCGATCGATTAGTAAACTTGTTAGCCGGTATGTTGTCATTTGAGGTACATTTACTTTTACGGATAATTTTCATCTATTTATTCACCTATTTTTTACAATTTGATCTTGATTTTGTGGTTTTTTAATACTACTTAAAGATACCAAGTCAACTCTAATGGACACCAGGACATGAGATGACATCTGCTTTGAGTGTTTTAATTGTTGGAAAATTGCTACATGATCTTTTGATAAGCCATTACACAGGTTTGATTTGTTGGTTTCACCAAAAGCAACATAAAACACATTCTATGTTTTAACGTTATTTTCAAAATTGCTTCTTCCTTCATTAAGTTTGCGAGGCATTAAAGCAAGGTGTGAATACGCTATTTTAAGAGAAAGTCAAAGTCTGTTCAAATCAACCATTTTACTTTCCTCAATGCCTCGAGACGCTCGTCTGGCCTGACTTTTATATTATTTTAGCGAAATGTTTCTATTTAACTTGAAATATACCCGCATTTAATCAGTCAACATTAGAGACAGTGTTTAAGGTTTCTGGCAATAAGCGTTTTCTGGTTCTGGAAACATTGTGATTTTCAAGTGAACAAGTTGAGGCTCTTTACAAGCGTCAAATCAATGGATTTAATTTTTGTTTCTTTATTGTGTTGATTGCTATTAGACGGATAAAAGTATGCGTTTTAATCAAACTGATTCGTGATCGTTAATAACTATTTAATAACATCTTTTCCGTTCTCAATCTCTTCCATTTAACTTGTATCTTTACAAGAATCAAAGGCAAAACCAGCAATAACATGAACCATATTAATTTCAACAATTGTTTGATCAAATTTTTAATCATACAATACATTCCGTTCTGATATAAAATTAGATTTACTTGGATTTAACATTTATTTCCTTGTTTCAATTTAAAAGTAAAGTATTAATAAAAATTGAAAAAAAGTAACAGCAAAAGCAACAACAAGATCAAATGTAACAGTAACAAGTGCGAGTAACAATACCAAACCAGACTAGACCTAAACCGGCGGTTTCAAGTTATTGGAGGGATTAATGATTTAATTGTGTCATAATTGTAATTAATTAATTGTACAAGGAAAAATTGATATTAAAGTGAAGATGAAATGATTTTAAGTTGAAAATGGAAAAATTTGAATGGAAAATGATTGAAATTATTGCATTCAAAAAGTTTGCACGAAAATCGCATTTAAAAAAAATCTAATTCTTAAATTAAACCTATTTAATCATTGAAATGATCGCAAATAGCTTCAATCGCTTCCAAAAAAGATCAAGTAATCCAAAAATTCATTGAACGTTTCTGACTTTGAGGCCAAAATTCATTTTAGACACCACTTTGGTTCTCGCCTTTTCGATCACAAATGGGATGTTCCTTTGATTTAATCAAACCATAATCAGATCAGGCAAATATGGTGGGTCAGTTTTCCATCCAGAATCCAGGCCATTCCTAAGCCAATATAAAATAAAAAATTTTCTTCGGACTTTTTGACCTCAGAATTCACAAACAAAACTCATGATTGGGTTATTTAACCAAAATTTTCGGGTTTTGTTGTCGGTTGAATGATTTTACCTTTTTTTGTGTTTATTAAAACAGTGACATCTATCCGAATGGAAAGTAACCTTTACCCACTCAAGTGTCGCCCTTGATTGTTGTCTGGTTTTTTGGCTAGAAATCTTGGTTCGAACTTCAAATCCTCGCATAAACCGATTTGAAATCAACAGTACTAAAGCTTCCTTAGGATGTCACTAGACTTGCTCGAGGTTTACTTGGAAACATGACATGGATTGTAAACATAAATGGCTTTGAAAACAGATAATTTATACTGAACATTATGAAGGATTTGAGAGGTTGATTTGGTCATCTCATAAACTAGTTAACTTAATAATCTATTTTATATTTATCTATTTCATTCAAGTGGAAACTGAATAAGTAAATAACTAAAATCAAATTCTTGTATCAACCCGATTCAACTCATCACTTTGGGTAACCTTTATCAACCGACTAAATTTACTTTTTTGTTAAATTCTTGGATTAACGGATAAAATTACCAAACCTCACGATGGTCGGATGGTCATTGGATAATCAATGGTATTGCCAAGCATTAATAATCAATAATGTGAAGTTGAGGTAAAAAATGAAACCAACAATCAAGTGGTCATTCGCGGTGTTCAACAGTAATCATTACCAAGAGATGTTGCTACATTAATGATACTGTTACATTGCTATTATTAACAATTATAATAAAAATTTTCTGTATAATGCAATTGATATGGTTGATATAATATAAGAAACTAATTGAGATTTGGCTTTTAAATTAAGGATTCAAATTGAAAAATGGTTATTTTGAGTTGACATTAAGGCACAAAAGGCTTTCAAAGATGAGATTATTGTTGGTTACAGAAAAGTGCAGTAAAATAATAAGTCCAGTTTGTATCAAATTGTACCGTTGATAATTCAATTAGAGTTAATTGTTTTTATAATTTAACTTGTTTTCCCATTTTTTCATCTTTACATCTTTTTTTGTTGCGATTCATTCAACATTTTTTGTAACCAAACAGTTATCCAAACAACTCTCATTTTTCAACAATTAATTGAAATGTAATTGATCAATGATGGACTTAAGGTTACTCGAGTTTACCGTCAAAATTACTTATTTTTACCTTTAACAATTGACCTTTGATTGGCCAAGAAAAAGTATCAACTAAAAGATGAAAGTAAAAACAATGAAAAAAGTAAATCAAAACTCAACTTCAAAATAAATCTTGAAATGAAACCTAAACTGGTTAAACTCTGGTTTTACCAATTTTTTCATTTCAACCTAAAATTGGTGGAAATTGTGAGTTTAATGAACATTGAGAAAAGGATAAAAATTGATAAATGAAATGAACTTAAATGAACATGCAAATGAACCGGACAATTGATATATATTGATATTGATTAATGTAATTTGAGTGATAATTTGATTGGAAGGGTTTGCATGAATGGCTAATAAGTGAACTGAAATTTGACTGAAAATTGTAATTCTATTGTTTCTAATTTAACCAAATTTTCCAATAAAATTAACTTGATCATAATTAATGTAATGATTATAATTTTATGGTTAATATAGAAGAGTAAATTGTTGATAACCTTAGATTAAAAGTGCCATAAGCATTCAATTTTTAATTGAAATTCTGATTTCCTTTTCTTTTTCTCTTTCGAATATCGGTTTTCCTTAAAATTTGTTCAATCTCTTTATTACAGGTTAAAGTGCCATTGAATGTGACAATTGTTTGATGAATTGAAGCAAAAAGAGTTTGAATGAAAAATTGATTTACATTTTGTTGTTTATTAAAAAGTGTTGATATACATTTTATTGTCCAACTGTTAATCATTTCCTTAGCACGTCTTCAATTTCCAGATTATCTATCTTTATCTGAATTATTTTCATCTTGCTTAAAGGTACACTTTTGATGATCAGAAACGTCAATGAAGAGAGCGAGAGAAAGAGAGAGAGAGAGGAAAATAAGAAAGAGCTGAATGAATGAAAGATGAGAAAAGAAAGACTTACCTGAGTTTGGGTTGAGCTTGTTTCACCTTGTTTAATGTTACCTTTAACCAAGGAGGGAGTAATTTAGAGTGAGCTGTTCGTTGGGAGAGATCGTATATAAGATGATGTATACACGTTGACGATACTCATTCGGCTTCTTTTGGCAGTCAACGACAACACAATTTTTTTATATTTTTTAGGTAAACATCATTTTTCTATCACAATTATCATTATTATTATTGCTTTTAAAATTATATTTACATTTATATTTTGATTAATTTTCACGTTGTTCTCATTTTATTTTATCTCTCTCTCTCTCCCTCCTCTCCTTACCTGTTCCTGTTTTTTCCGTTCAATCTTTCACAGTCCCTCATACGGTGTTTCATCAGTTTAACATTTCTTTTGGTACCATTTCGGAATTATGCAGTTATCAACTTTAGTGCTCATTTTGGGCACCCTTGCAATTAAAGGGTCCCTCGGAAGTGACTGGGGATGGGAACCACCGATAGTCAAAGTTATTCACAAGGTTGTCCACATTCCAAAACACGTTCCAATCCCAAAAGTCATCACTGTTCCAAAGATCGTCCCATACCCAAAGACCATTGCTGTTCCCCATCCAGTACATATTCCAGTAAAAGTTCCAGTCTACAAGACCGTAAGTAAACTGTTTATACCTCTTTACCTGACTTTAGTTTTTTTTACCTTCTTTCACCTTTTCTCAGTTTCCTTTTTCATCCTTCAAAAGTGATGCTCAACTTGAATCCAAGTTTCATTTTTTACTTTTACCCAAACTTGATGAGCTTTTTTTTAGTTGCAACTTTTTTTTTAAAAAACTTGACTATTTTTGAAAGTTTATTTCTGTTTTGTTCCAATTTTTACTTTCTTGTTTTTTCTTTTACTTTGAATTTTGTCGAGAGAAAAAAAAGAAACATTGAAAAGAATGAAGTTTTAATGCTTTGTATTCTGAATATTCCAATGAATAGGTTAAGAAGGTCATCCCAGTGGCTAAGCACATTCCAGTACCTAGGCCAGTGCCAATTGCCAAACCTTACCCAGTTGGAGTTCCAGTTCCAGTGTTCAAACCGCATCCAGTCCCAGTCTTTAAGCCAGTGGCCATTGCCAAGACTATTCACGTTCCATACCCAGTAAAGGTACCCAAACCCCATCCATACCCAGTCCACAAGATCATCCATGTTCCCAAGCCATACATGGTTCCAGTTAAAGTCCCAGTCTACAAGGAAGTCATTGTCAAGAAGCCAGTTCAAATCCCAGTACCGTAAGTATCAAGTTGTAAGCAAAGAAGAAGAAAAAAAAAGTTTTTCGTTAGTTTCTGAAAAAGATTCGATTCGATAAATCGATCAAAAATGGAAGCGAAGAGAGAGAGAGATAAAAAAGATTGGCACCAAACAAACAAAAAAGCCAAATCTAATCATCATTATCACTGTCTCAATACCATCATCATCAACAACAGCAGCCAGTCTTAATCACGGAATCGTGATTAAGGTTGTCGGCTAAATTAAGTTTCCCAGTTAATCTTGACGATTCGCATTCGGCGAATTATAAATCGACTTGAGCTTAAATTGTTATTAGCTATTTACAGTTAAAACAATGTTTTCTTGCAATCATCTTCATTCCGAATTATCCTCATCTTCATCTTCAACTTTTCCTAAAAATCTCCCCTTTTCTTTTATCATCATCATCATTTTATTTTGTCAGTTGAACAAAAGTAGAGCAAAGCAGACAAGCAAACTAACTGGAGCTTGATTTGATTCCAGTTTTCACCCTTCAGTTGAGACTCACAATTTTCAATCAATTGCCTTTATCTTTTTCTCATTTTCATTCACAATTTTAACATTCCTCCAAATGGAAACCTCATAACGATCAAATTAAATAACAAAATATCGTTGAATATCCAAACGGAAAGAACCATTAGTCGTTCCGTTGCGATCCGATTAGCAATTATCAGGCAACAATCGATAGTTAGTCAGAAGCAAGAGAGATAAACCTGTTAATGATAATGACGATGGTGTGGTGGACGATAATGATAAAGACAAATAGACAGGTAGACTTGTCAATGAGTTGAACAGTTTTTTTTGCCGACTTTCATTAACTCACTTACAACAGCAAGAAAAAAAGGAGAAGATGAAGATGAAGAGGAAAAAGAAGAAAAGTTTCAAGCAACTTTTTTCTTCTCTCATTGCTCACAATCGAAGGCATTATATTGTTGCAATTCTTTCTTACTAATCATTTATTTTCTATTTTTATACCGTTTTCTTCTTTACCCTGTACTCAATTAAACTGGTTACCGACACACACGCTCACAACGTACACGCACCTTTAAAAACATTAATTGCTCTCAACTACTGAACTGCACTAAAAATACAATATCACAGAGTTTACATTAAGAAGAAGCCAGTCTATCATCCACCTTCATACGAAGCATGGAAGGCCGCTGCCAGTCAAAAGCACGAGCAAAAGGTTGCCCCAAACACTCCAATCAAACCTGAGCAGAGTAAAAACTAGATAAGTCCATCACCATTAAATCCTCACAAACACACTCAACACGCGCCATCATTCATCGACCACACAACACCAACCATATTCATCCCTCTCTTTTTTTTCATTTTTGTATCGCTGTATACAAAAACATAGACCTTTTACAAAATTGCATAAAAAACATCGACTCATCATCAACATCATCATAACAATCAACTCTTGATTAGAATTGTAAAAAGAAATTCAGCAAAAATTATTAAAACAATATTATACTTTTTCACTTCTAATCTGTTTTCATTTTAATATTTAAAACAAATGCCAAGCATCATCAATCATATTCAACAAAAGGAGATAAAAAAAATGATCGCTATAATCAATGTTGACAATTAACTTGAAATGTTTTCTTCTTCTTCTTTTCTGGTTTTCCTGAAGAAATGATTCTTTAATGACGATTAAATGATAAACTTGACTTGAATGACCGAGAAAAAGATGATGATTAGGTGAATGATGATGATGATGCCAAATGCTGATGAATTTTGGACGGACGTGAAAGTGACCTGAATTGAGTCTCATGGTGATAACAGGAAAGAAGAAAAAAAGTTGACCATTCAACTTGCATTCAACATTGATTGTTGATAATGATGTTGAATTATTTATAAATTTTGTTTCGTCCAAACAGAAGCTAATTTGGTTAAATCATCTTTTAAATTCAGGTTTCAACTTTTCTTCTTCTTCTCTATTCCTCAAGTTTCCAGGTTAATACAAGCTTCTTCATTCCATTACCTGCGAGGCCAGAATTGCTCAATTTCATGATGACCACATGAGAGTCAATTTTGCATCAACTTGCAATTTCGGTTCGTTTTTTCGTTGGGGTTCACATAATTTTCGAGTTTGAATGTTATCCTTTTTGCTTCACTCATTTGTCATTTGTATTCATATGAATGTTCATACAATCAAAACTTTTCATCAACATCTTTTTTTTTGTTTGTTTCTGATTCTTTTTGTGTATTCAGGGTTGAGCCTGCAAGTCTTGATACAATCTTCAAACAAATAAGAAAACAAAAAGTGAGAAAAAAAGAAAAGATGAAAGTTCTATTTTCATGTTTTCCACTTTTTTGTATCTCGCCAATTGAATCTCATCTTTTTTGATTGAAAAGCTCGACAAGGTAAAGAGTAACAAGTGAACGGCACAACAAAATGATACAAACCAATTGTTTTCACTGAATAAATAATTATCATTGAAAATGCAACTTTCATTCTGTAAACTGATTAATACCGCGAACATGTTTTGTTATCCTTCATTAAATCAACTGATGCAAGGTAATTATTATTGCTTGAAACTATTGTTGCCAGCACTGTTTGTTATCACCTATCAGGTAAATCAAGAATAGAGTTGTCTAAATAATGGTTTGATAATACAATTTTGAGGTAATAAAAATCACTGAAATGAAACTCTTTTGTGTGTTACAATTAAGCACCAATCAGATTATGAAGATACAAATGATACGAGAATCCATGAGAAGTTCATAGTTGCAATATGGTGAGATGAAGAAATTTTTTTTCCTCAAATTTTCTGGAATTTAAATGAAACTCTCAGACTAACCTGTGGGGAAAAAGTTTGGGAATTTTTGGTTTTTTTCTTATATCTCGTAAGATAATGGCTGAATTTTTTTGAGAATTCAACATGATATAGTTGAATAGTGTAGCTTTGATATCTGAGAAATTCAGAATAAAAAAAAACAAAGGTCACTCCACAATCATCGCTCAAACTCGGAAGAGAAAAAAAGTGTTTGAAAAATTCGTTTTATACATGTTAAACTCTCATAGACATTAACCAATTTTTGAGACTAATTCATATTTTGGTTAGCTGGTTGAAGTACCTATTATTCAAAATTGAATATCTTTCAAACGACTTATCCGAATTTTTTAGATCGTACGCCAACTGAAAGGTCTTGAAAATTTGCATCAAATGATGTATTTTTTTAGCTACGTGGAATGTTGTTCATGGGGTTATTCATGAAACCAATTTAACATGCATAAAAACGAATTTTTCAAACACTTTTTTTCTCTTTCGAGTTTGAGCGATGATTGTGGAGTGACCTTTGTTTTTTTTATTCTGAATTTCTCAGATATCAAAGCTACACTATCCAACTATAACATGTTGAATTCTCAAAAAAATTCAGCCATTATCTTACGAGATATAAGAAAAAAACCAAAAATTCCCAAACTTTTTCTCCACAGGTTATTGTTTTTCGGGTTGAAGTGAAAGTTGTTCAGCGATTTCAATCAATGATATTAATCTTGTAACATCCAAGATTAGGTATTTAGAGCATGAGGGTTGAGGAAGAGAGGAAAGACCAAGAGGAAGATCATGATGATGGTAAAGTTGATGAAAGTTTTTTTTCGCTCTTCTCTCAAGATTGCAAACGAGTTGAAATTAGTATTTTCATCATTAGAGGAATGAAGATGAATTTTTATCAATCAAAATAGTTTATCAAGATTTTCTCAATAAATGACTTGATGAACATCATGATGAAGATGGAGATGAATTTTGTGTGTATACGTTGAGAGAAAAGTTCAATATTCTTAAACGAGTTTTGGTGTTAAGAGGATGAAAATTGATCAGTAAGGATTGAACTCAAGTTGACGCTTTTTTTATCGTCAAATTATTCAAACTGATTGAACACCGAGAAAAGGTCGTCGAGCTTTAAGAACCATTTTTAAAGGTAAACATTTAATCAATCAACTTTTAATTTGGTAAATTATTTGCAATTAGTCTTCATTGATTGGGTTAATTAATCAAATTAAAAGGTAAAGACAATAAACCAGAGAAAAGATGTTTTCATTGTTTTTCCGTTTCTCTTCATTTCGTTGATCTTTTCATAACTTGTTTTGTCTTTTCTGGTTACAAGTGTTTGCTTTAACATTACACTTTGTTTAATCACTTTAATTGAGTTAATTGTTGCTAATAATAATTACAATTATGAAATGTTTAATGAAAAGAAAATGTAAAATGAAATTAACCCAATTTTTTGGGTTTCTGGTTGCGAACCTTTTCTCATAGGATTTACATTTGACTATTTGGTTTTTACTTTATTTTTAGCTTGTAATTACATTTTCACGTTTTACCATTGAAATAATGATTATTGTCATCTAATTGTTGCTGCAATTGTCTAATTAAAAAGGTTATTGTTTAAGAAGAAAAGTGTTGACAAACTATTTAAAGGTGATAAAGAACAGGTAAGATGAAGAGTCACCAAAAAAAAGGAAGACAGTTTTTATGTTAAATCAAGTGAACCATTTTAAACCAGATTAATGTTTACTGTTGTGCTTCCATGAAACATGGTAATCTTGAAAAGTGAAAAGTTGATCAATTAATTGTTAATATTGATTGATACTTTTGATCATAAAGAGTTTCTATTCATTTCTTTGATTGTGAAGAGAAACATTTTTACATCAATTGATTTGATACAATTTGTTTGTGATTGAAGGCCTGTTGAGATGATCAATGCGATTGCCTTTTTACATTCATTTCAACAATGAGAATAACTTGTCAACATTGAATGTTTAACTATTTGACATCAGTTTTTAATGAAAACCTAATTAAGAGGCAACAAATTTAATGTAACATTCAGGTCACTTTGATAATCATTTAATAATCATTGTCATCATCATTTCACAAGTAAATCAACTGTGAACATCATTTTAATGTTTTCCGGTAATTTCATGAGAAACACTAATTAACACGCAAATTTGGTCTCAATTTGACTTTCATTGTAAACTGTAACGGTCAAGATTGACATTTACATTGAGTTTGCATTGAAGGGAAAATTAAAAATCAAAATTTACTTTTCTGGTTAACATCTTTTAAGTAACTCCATCTTTTGGGTTATTTACTTGACTTGTGTGTTATCTCGTTTCTGGTTCATTAAAGATTAAGATTAATAACTTCTATTATGATAATAATGATAATAATCATGATAATCAGGATAACTGATTCCAATTGAAACAATAAGTTTGATCCTTTCATTTGACCAGGAAAGGAAAGCCAAGAAGAGAGAGAGAGATAAAGGAAAACGAAAAATGAAACAAAAGGAAAACTGGATTCTATTCAGATTCATCATTTTCTCAGTTTCATTTCCTTTTCAGCCTGAGGGTAACATGAAACGGAACTCGGTTGATCTGGCAAACCCTAAAAAATACAGAAATTATTATTAATAAATCCAACTGGAAACATTTGATTAGAAACTAAAATAGTGATGAATTAATTAGATATTAGTTGATATTAAAAAAAGAGTGAAAATGGTTATAAATAAATGGATTGTGAGACGAGTTGAATCACAACAAAAGCTGGTAAAAGTCAACAGTTTAAGGCCAATTTTTCTGGTTAATTTCTGGTTTGTATTGTTTTATCATTAATTTTTGGTCTAATCACAATTTAATCACAAAATTTACAATTTCAATGGTCATTAACAGTCTTTTGGTTACCTTAATTTTTCTGTCGCCTTTTGCACTGTTGCTCTTATTGTCAATAAAAGGTTATCATTAATGTTAATATTGTGTAAAATGGTTCATTTAATTGAATTACCATTAAAAGTAAAATCATTTATTAAATCATAAATTTGTTACCTTTTTACTCTTAATTTTGTTTTCTTTTTCTCTCTTTTTTTTATTGGGTCGTTCAACTTTCCATTTTAATTTACCAATAAACAAAATTTGAATGGCGATTCTGGAGGTTTCTTTAATGAAGATGATCTCATTTAAATTAAAAGTGATACTTCCTTTAATATTGAACGTTGATTATAAAAACAAAATACCCTAAAAGACTGGGTCAGTTTCACTTTTGACCTGGAAAATAAAACAACATCCAACACCAATAATTGCTTTCCTTAAAGAAGCTACTCATTTATACCTTGAGGGTTTAACAGACATAATTGTATTTGCATTATCAATTTATATATAAATATATAAATCTCTTTTTTCGTCTTGATGCTGCCTTTAACAAATTTTCAATCAATTGATTTTGCACAGTCTGTTGTTTGATTTGTGTTTGTTTGAGGGTTTAATTGAACGGAAGGAAGTAAAGCAGCTTTTCATCAAGAAAAATTGTTACATTAAATTTGTCTATTGTACATTTGTTACAGCGGGACATTAAACGTGTTGTTATTTTCACTTTCAAATGGTTAATCAATGGTCACAATTGATGTCTCATTAAATGGTATTAATTGTATGGCAAAATCAATTCCAAAATTGAATAAATTGTTAATTTAATCTCTTGTAGCACATTAAGATGGTTTATTGAGTTAGCCTTTTCTGGTCACTGTAATGTTTTATGTAAATAACAGTCGTAAATGGTTACACACAAAATATTGATTTATAGTCGTTTCGTTGGAGATTTTACTTGATACAAGTCACTTAGATTAACATTTTTTAATCATAAATTTCTCAATCTAAACGGGTTGGCGTCAAATTAAAGTTACATGAAGACAATTAATAAAAATAGTCTTGTAATTGTGCAAAAAATCGCATAAAACAAAAAACATCAACAAAACAAATTACTTTAGTGAGCCATCTATCGATCAATTAGTAAACTTATCTGGTTACATAAAACAAAATCTATTCAATTATTTTACTAGATTTTTAGTCGACCCCTAATTTTAGTTGTTCAATTGTTGAACATTTTTCAATTCAATTTTCATAATTTATCTGTTCATAAGTTGAAGATTTTTATTTGTGTTGATTTGTTAAATTAAATCGTTAACACTTCAAATATTGGAAACAATACAATGAAGTTCCCCTATTGAAAGTATAAAGGTTGTGAATAAGCTATTTCAGTGAAAGTCACATTTTTTACTTTAATGTCTTAATTCCCTCGTCTAGCCTGGCTTTTGTATTATTTCATGTGAAATGTTTTCTGTTTAACTTGAAATATATTTTTACTGATTTAGTGATTATTGTTCATATTTACCCGCATTTAATCAATCAACTTTTGAGACAGTGTTTAAGGTTTCTGGTAATAAGCGTTTTCTGGTTCTGGAAACATTGTGATTTCCAAGTGAACAAGTTGAGGCTCTTTACAAGCGTCAAATCAATGGATTTAATTTTTGTTACTTTATTATTGTGTTGATTGCTATTAGACGGATAAAAGTATGCGTTTTAATCAAACTGATTCGTGATCGTTAATAACTATTTAATAACATCTTTTCCGTTCTCAATCTCTTCCATTTAACTTGTATCTTTACAAGAATCAAAGGCAAAACCAGCAATAACATGAACCATATTAATTTCAACAATTGTTTGATCAAATTTTTAATCATACAATACATTCCGTTCTGATATAAAATTAGATTTACTTGGATTTAACATTTATTTCCTTGTTTCAATTTAAAAGTAAAGTATTAATAAAAATTGAAAAAAAGTAACAGCAAAAGCAACAACAAGATCAAATGTAACAGTAACAAGTGCGAGTAACAATACCAAAGCAGACTAGACCTAAACCGGCGGTTTCAAGTTATTGGAGGGATTAATGATTTAATTGTGTCATAATTGTAATTAATTAATTGTACAAGGAAAAAATGATATTAAAGTGAAGATGAAATGATCTTAAGTTGAAAATGGAAAAATTTGAATGGAAAATGATTGAAATTGTTTTGATCTGATTAAAGGTGATTTGAAAGCAAAATTTTTGGGTTTTGTTTTTGGTTGAATAATTTTACCGTTTTTGTATTTATTAAAAACAGTGACATCTATCCGAATGGAGAGTAACCTTTTACCCAAACAGATTATCTTTTTACTGTACAATATGAAAAATTTGAAGGGTTAATTTATTCATCTTATAAACTAGTTAATTTAATAATCCATTTTATATTTATCTATTTCATTCAAGTGGAAACCGAATAATCAAATGCCAACTACTTGTTTACCGTTTCTCCTGCCTGATCAGTTGGTCCAATCCATCAGTAAAATAAGAATGAATAAGATCTTCTTCCCTTTGGTTGCCCTTTTTTATTCAAACTCATCTCTCATTTTAAAATTGTTAACCGGTCAGTTTGGATTATAAGTGTAGCCTCACGATGGTTAAATGGTTAGATAATCAATTTATAACCACAAGAAATGATAATAATCATAATCATCATTGAAAATGGTTAAAAGGGAAACAAAGGAAAGTCCCCAAAGCAAACGGTCAATTTTGGGTTTCCATACAAAACACAAACAGTAATCATTACACAAGCCAATACCGGGTGTCTAATGTTGAATCTTTTCAAATTACCAGATAATCTGGCTGAATATAAATTGAATTGTTGTCCATCCGTTCAATTTAACTTACCTCAATACCCTGTATTGTGTGTATACTAATGTTTGGTTTAATGTTGGCCAACTGATGAAAAGATATACAATTATATTGTTATACAAATACAAGATATGGTTGATAATAGGTAAAATTGAGTTTAATTTTAGTCAAGTAAACCCAACAAACGCTACTATTATTTAAATGAAGTAAAATGGTAAAACAACATTTTCTCAACTTTCAAATGATCAGTGATTTTGTTGAATTTACAGAATCATCTTTAGTTTGTCAAATTGTTTTGGTTATGATTCAATTAGCATCCAATTGTTTTACAACTCAATCTTCATCCTCATTCTCATCCTCATCATTTTCATTCCTAAAAAAAGGTAAAGAAGGAAAAAAAAGACAAATGATTATTTAAACATCTTTTGATAAGTTTATTTTTTTTCATCAAATCTTTTTTTCTCAACCAACTTTTACTATCCAAATAACTCTCATTTTTCAACAATTAATTGAAATGTAATTGATCAATGATGGACTTAAGGTTACTCGAGTTTACCATCAAAATTGCTTATTTTTACCTTTAACAATTGACCTTTGATTGGCCAAGAAAAAGTATCAACTAAAAGATGAAAGTAAAAACAATGAAAAAAGTAAATCAAAACTCAACTTCAAAATAAATCTTGAAATGAAACCTAAACTGGTTAAACTCTGGTTTTACCAATTTTTTCATTTCAACCTAAAATTGATGGAAATTGTGAGTTTAATGAACATTGAGAAAAGGATAAAAATTGATAAATGAAATGAACTTAAATGAACATGCAAATGAACCGGACAATTGATATATATTGATATTGATTAATGTAATTTGAGTGATAATTTGATTGGAAAGGTTTGCATGAATGGCTAATAAGTGAACTGAAATTTGAATGAAAATTGTCATTCTATTGTTTCTAATTTAACCAAATTTTCCAATAAAATTAACTTGATCATAATTAATGTAATGATTATAATTTTATGGTTAATATAGAAGAGTAAATTGTTGATAACCTTAGATTAAAAGTGCCATAAGCATTCAATTTTTAATTGAAATTCTGATTTCCTTTTCTTTTTCTCTTTCGAATATCGGTTTTCCTTAAAATTTGTTCAATCTCTTTATTACAGGTTAAAGTGCCATTGAATGTGACAATTGTTTGATGAATTGAAGCAAAAAGAGTTTGAATGAAAAATTGATTTACATTTTGTTGTTTATTAAAAAGTGTTGATATACATTTTATTGTCCAACTGTTAATCATTTCCTTAGCACGTCTTCAATTTCCAGATTATCTATCTTTATCTGAATTATTTTCATCTTGCTTAAAGGTACACTTTTGATGATCAGAAACGTCAATGAAGAGAGAGCGAGAGAAAGAGAGAAAGAGAGAGAAAGAAAGAAAGAGAGGAAAATAAGAAAGAGCTGAATGAATGAAAGATGAGAAAAGAAAGACTTACCTGAGTTTGGGTTGAGCTTGTTTCACCTTGTTTAATGTTACCTTTAACCAAGGAGGGAGTAATTTAGAGTGAGCTGTTCGTTGGGAGAGATCGTATATAAGATGATGTATACACGTTGACGATACTCATTCGGCTTCTTTTGGCAGTCAACGACAACACAATTTTTTTTATATTTTTTAGGTAAACATCATTTTACTTTACAATTTTATACTCACTTTAAATTATAAATTAATTTCTTACATTTTATATTAACATTCACTCTCGATCTTTTCAACAAAATCTCTTTCTTCTCTTTCTTTTGCCTCTCCCGCTCATTACACTTTCATTATTTTTTTGTGCTCATTTTTTTTCTTCTTATTTTTTTGTTTTCTTCTTTTGTTCATATTTCGCACTTCGTCTGGTTAATGATAAATCACATCAACAGTTCCCTCTAAGGAATTATGCAGTTATCTACTTTAGTGCTCATTTTGGGCACCTTATCCATCAAAGGATCCCTTGCAAATTGGGATGAATGGGGTCATGTTGAATATGCTCGTCCAGTTAAAATCATCGTTAAACATGTAGCTAAACACATTCCTATTCCAAAACCTTATCCAGTTATCAAGAAAGTTCCAGTGCCCAAGGCTTACCCAGTTTTTAAACCTCTTCCAGTGGCTAAGTTTGTCCCTAAACACGTTATCGTGCCCGTTGTCAAACACGTCTACGCTCCATACCCAGTACTTAAACCATTCCCAGTGGCCAAGCCAATTCCAGTACCAAAACCTTACCCAATCCCATACCCAGTCAAGGTAAGTAACTCATCATCATTAAACACTTTTCATAAACACTTTCATTAGACAAAACCATTGACAGTTTGAGACGAAACCAGAGGAAACCAAATTGATTTCAAACATCAATTCAAATTGTGTTCAAATCAGGAATCAAGATTTGAAATGAATTTGCAAAAGTGCAAAAAAACTTTCATCTCTCATCAATTAGAAAATTCAGTTTGAAATTTTTCCGAAAAATTAATTTCCAATTTTGTTGAGAAAAACTTTTTTATTGAAATATTTCAAGTCGATCTCTAATGAAGCAAAAATAGTTTGAAAATATTTTTTGAAGATCCATTCAAATCTCTCAGAATAGCAATCAATTTTAGAACAAAATTTTTAATCGAAAATTTTGATCGTCTTTCTCGAGTCATTATTCAGTTGGAATAAAGTTTTCAGTATTTTGATTAGTTGTGATTAGTTGAGACTAGTTTTGAGAAAAAGTTGATTAAATTGAATCCAAAAGAATCGTGAAAAAAATGAAAATTTTGAATTGATTTTTAAGTGCCAATAAGATGCGATTACTCGAACAAATTTGTTATCAATTTGAACTGAAACTTTTTTTTCCACTCGCCTAATACGAAAAGGGAAAGAAACTTGATTCTCGATTTTTACTATATATATATATTTCTATATATATATAAATATAACTTGTTTATTCTTAGTCACGGAATCGTGATTGAGGTTATTGGCTAAATTTAGTTTCAGCTAATCTTCATCATTCGCATTCACTTTAAACAGTTCAAATTTTTAATAGTTTCAAGTAAAACAATCATTCGAAAATGTTTTTATCATCATCTTCATACCAATCATCCTCATCTTCATCTTCAACTTTTCCTCAATTCTCCTTTCATTATCTCTTTACTACAATTTTTTTTTCCTCTCTTCTCTCTTCATTGAAAAGAAGAAAAGAGAAGCAAAAAAAAAGTAGAACAGCGTTCACAAGCTAACTGGAGCTTGATTTGATTCCAGTTTTCACCCTTCAGTTGAGACTCACAATTTTCAATCAATGCTCAATGATGTAACTGTTTATGATGATGGTCATCATAATCTAATTAATCATCCACTTTTGCCCTTTTCTTCTTCTTCTTCTTCTTCTTTCCTTTCAATTTTTCCAAATCTTCTCCCACCAGGTTCCAAAGCCATACATTGTCCACGTACCTAAGCCCGTAGCTGTACATAAGCCTTATCCAGTTCCAGTTCCAGTTAGAGTTCCCAAACCATATGTTGTACCAATCATTAAACACGTACCAGTTCCAGTACCTAAGCCAGTTCACAAGATTATCCCAGTTATCAAGGAAAAGCCATACTTCGTCAAGAAAAAGATCCCAATCCTGTAAGTCAACCTTAACCCATCTTCACTCATCTTCAATTGATTTTGATTAACCTTTTTTTGTCTCTTCCTCAGCATTGAACATCATTACAAAGAAGTCCACAAACCATTGAAACATTGGTGGTAACCTGTTATTCAAAAGTCGTCATTTTTCACATCACACATCCACACCTCATACTTTTAAATACACACCACACACAACCACATCCATTCACACAACGTACATAGCATTCGCATCGCTCGCTCGCTCGCTCGTCTCTCTCTTTCCTTAATCATCTTTTTTCGTCATCTTTCCCTTTCCTTTTCCTCTCTCTCTCTCTCTCTCTAATTTTTTTCACCTCAGCTTCACATTTTTATTGTATCTTACAATTGCTCAAATGTAAAACACCATCATAATGCTTTCAAATTATAATGTCAATTTATAATTTCACAAATTTTTAAGATTATTGTCATTAAAATGATGCTAATTGTTGAAAGACTGTTGTTTTTATTTTTTCGCCATTCAATTGTCATTTCTTTTTATTCATTTAACAAACAATCAAAGTAAACACCAATCATATCAATTCAGGTTTGTTACACTTTTAATGGCTCTTCAACAACCCAAACTGTCTTTTTTTTGGGTAACTTTCAAAGTAATCTTTTGTTCATGTCGTCTTCTTATCATATCGTTTCATTTGATTTTCTGGTTCATTAAAGATTAAGTTCTGCTTTCAGAGTTGATTGTTAATAACACTTAACGTGAGGAAACCAAAAACAATATTAATGGTAATAAGGATAATTGATTTCAATCTAAAACAATCAGTTGATTCCCAATTTGACCAGAAACAATAAAGACTAATCTAAAAGCTGGAAAAGTGAATAAGAAAAATCATTTTCAATGTAAAACCAGAAAACCCAAAAATTGGAAAATAAATAAATGAAAATTAGTTTATCATGATATTGATTGGTTCAGTTAATTGAATCATCATTAAAGCATTTATTAAATAACAAATTGTTAGCTTATTGGGTCGTTCAACTTTCCATTTTTTTCGTTGTTATTGATAACCAAATTGAATGGCTATTCTAGAGGCTTTAATGAAGATGATCTGAAATTGATACTTCCTTTTAAAACTATTGATATACAAAATACCCTGAAAGACTGGGTCAGTTTCACTTTTGACCTGAAAAATGAAACATGCAATAGTTTCTTTCCTTGTATTATTTACAGTTGATATGTTGATTGTGAGGTGAGCTTATACAAAGTAGCTTGATTATTGTTAATCTAAGCCAATCCTTTATTTTACCCTCTTCCAGCTTACAGATCAATCAACAATTTTTCAAGTGTTTCAAGTTAATCACTTGAATTATCCAAGCTTGTAGCTGCTACGATTGTAACAAATATTATTATTCTGGTGATGCTTCTTGTATTTACTGTAATTGCCACCCAAAAATATGAGAAAATTTGCCCTTTCAAATGAAACGAAAAGAAGAAGTAAAATGCTGAAAAAAAGTCGAAAAACACAAAAATTGAATTAAAATCAAGTTGAAGTACAACAACTTTTTTCACTGATAAACCAATTGATTATCGCAAGCTTTACTTAACATTTGCCAACACAACCAATAAATCTATTTAAACCATCAATTAGGAAATTAAATTTGCATAAAATTGAACAATTGATGAAAAATCAATTTTAGTTAATCAACAGTTTGCTCAACATTTTGCGCCATCTTTTGCATTTTATAAAAGTCATTTTTCGAAGGGAAAAAAAGTTTCGTTTCTTCGACAATTTGATTAACTTTTGCTTTTTAAATATGAAACTGTGTCAAAGAGTGTCAACTGAACAATTGATCAACATTTGATTAAACCTTAAAAGAACTGAATAAACTTTGGAAAACTGTAAAGCACTTGAAAAGTCCATCATGAACTTTTCTGGTTCACTTTGCTAAACTTTCCATGATGATTAACTTGTAACTTATTCGCAACTTGAATCTAGTTAATCAAATTGTTCCATCCAAGAGCGAAAAGTATGCTCTTAATCATCTTAATCGTTTTAAATCATTCTAAATCATCTTAATCAACATCACAGTTTCGTTTTTTTTCCTTTTCCGTTTTCAGTTCAAACTCATAACGATTACAACTGTGATGATGATTATGAAGAGAATGGTGAAAAAGAAACAAAAAAAAGTTAAATTGTTGGCGGATGTGAAAGTGACCTGAATTTTGTGGCATTTCACGGCAATAACGGAAAAGCTTGACCATGTAACTGAGTGATAAATCATCTTAAATTGCTTACAGTAAAAGTAATATTACTTTTAATATTTCACTGTTGATCATCAACTGCGATCATCAACTGTGTGATCATTTGTGAACCTTTCAAATGTAATAATAACTTTGAAATGTAAACATTTGCTCTTTTTTTGTCAACCTTTATCTTTATGCGAAAATCAATTAAAGACAATTTGTTGTCGATTGTTATTCACGTTATTCATGCCTCTCATCCTCACCAACATGTTCAGGGTTGGATCTGTTCATTGATCAACATTTATATTTATCGACACTCGACTGTTTACCAAGCTTAAAGTGATACATTTGTCTTTACACTTTCAATGAAAGATGAAATAATTATCATTGTAAATACAGAAAATGATTAACATAAAGTTATCCTTGGCTGAATCAAGTGATGCCAATTGAAAGATTGTGTTATTAGTTTTGTTGCCTTTTTTTGTTGCTCAAAAGAAATGATTACAATAATGGAATTGAATAAATAACTGAATAATGAAAAATTTTAAAGGAATCATTGGAATGAAAAGTTTTTCTCGTTTTTTTTCTTCTTCTTCTTAGTCGCTTATTCTCATTTTTGTCCTCTCGTTTTCAGGATAATCAAGTTGCAATTCAAAACTCGAAACTGAAAGTGATTATTAATGAAATGTTGATGTTATGCTATCAATATGTATAATACAGTATATTCAGAGCATGAGGAAGAGTCTCAATGAAAGTTGCAGGTAAAGAGATGAAAAAAAAGTGTTTCTTAAAAATCAAATAACTTGGTAGTGATCATATTTACTGATGTAATATCGGAATGTGATGAGCCAAATGAGATGAGAATCATTTCTGTCTAATATCATTTTCCCCCCATTCATGATGAACATTTAAGATTAGAGTGAAAAAAACAGTTCACCAGTCGGGTTTGAACGGGTTTGGTGAAGATGAAAATTGATCAGTAAGGATTAAAGTTGATGAAAATAGCTTTGAATTGTTTATTTCATTTACAAAACCAACAAGTTAGACACAATCAGGTTTGTTACACTTTTAATGACTTTCAAACCCAAAACAATTTTTTGGTTAACTTTCAGTGACTCCATCTTTTGGTTATTTAACTCATTTTCTGGTTCATTGCAATTCAAGTTTAGTTCCGGTTTCAGGTTTGATTGTTGAAATTTAACTTTCTGTAAATGATAATAATGATAGTAATGGTAATAATGGTTATAATGATAATGGTGACAGTAATGATTATCATATAAATATATTATAAAGAAAAGGGTTGTTGATAGTGAAAATAAATTAGCTAATATTGTGAACGGGTGAAAACAAAAGGTATAAATAAAGAATCAAACTCTTATCCAATTGTCTGGTTAATTAATCGATTAAAAGCCGGAATAATTGATTGTTTATGCAATTGTTTTCGCACGATTTTTATTTCACATTCAATTAAATTATAAATTAATGATGATTTGTTACAGTCATTATTATCATTCATTTTTTGCTATCAAATTTTCAATCTGAATAAACTAATCAAACAATGATTCTTAATTTGTTTGTGAAATTTAATGAAATTAAAAATTTGAGAGCTTCAACTGTATTGGTGGTTCTGATAAAATCCTAGTTTATAATTCAATGAACTTGAAAATTATACTAAATCAAAAATCTGAGCTAATCTGAGAATTCAAGCTGCAATTGGTAACGATACCAGCTCATGAATTTTAGCTGTTCCAAGTTCAGATCTTCTGAGTGTTTACCTTTTATACAGGTACGATTGTCTCCTCTAGGGAGGGTTTACGCTTAAAATGATCGATATATTCGGATTTAACTTGTCGAGTTCTATAAGTACAAAAAACGTTGATCAAGAAACTTGACCGTTTGCATAAGGAAGTTAAACCCCAGAATCACTAGTTATGATGAATTAGGAATACATGTACGCCTGTGGAGATAAAATGTGTATGTGAAAATTTCACCACAATTTTCACAGGTCTGGGCACGGTGGTAATGATCGTTCATAATATGCTCCTTCCAGAGTCTGACTTTGGGATACAACTGATTAGAGTGGAAGCACTTGACATCTTTGCCAACAAAATAAGGCTTTGGGTTTGGAAGGCTTTCTTCAATTACTATTATAATATCTTACTATCAAAAATCACCATTGAAAGAACCAGGAGACTGCACAAAATGCATTGGATCTTGCATTTGAACCCATCGACCACAGCAGTGAATTGTGTCTTTATGCTCAGAATTTTCACATAATCGATGTACGACTTCACCTAGATGAGAGTCTTACAAAGCTCTAAGGTCTCTTCCAATTGCTTGGTCTTTCTCTGTAAATCTTTTCATTTGGATGTGACAAGCAAGGAACGATCTCTTGCAGCCATCTTTTAAGTTGACCTTTCTTTCTTTCTCTTCCTCATACCTAACCTCTCTTTCCCTTTGTTCAAATTTTTGCATCTTTTCAACTTTATTTCTCTATCTTTCTTCATCTAATTTCCTTCTCTGCTAAGACCACAAACTAGACATAAGTTTATATTTTTTTGGAATGTTTTCGACTTCGCTCAAACTATTTTGACTCAGTTCTGAATATTGATTCTCATCCTAATTACAATGAAAATTGAAATGTTAACCTTGATACTATTGTGCTTGTCTATTTCAACCCGTGAGACATTGAGTTTGAATGACAACATTTATGAATGGGCACAAAGATCTGGTGAATATTCAAAGTGGATAAAACAAGTTGATAAATCTGATGAAAATTACAAGCTATTCCTACAGAATTCTGTACTTAGAGTGACTGCTTTTATACCCACAAACGAGGCTTTCGATAAATTTTATGAGCCATCTAATGACATCATTGGTTCCCACTTGGTTTATGGTTCATTCGACTTAGATAAACTTCTAAAGATAAAAAATAAGAGCCACATAGGTGTTAAAAGATCCATGTTACGATTCAGTAGGGGCTTTGACGAAAGCCGCAACCGAAGCGCTGTTTTCGTTTTGGATGCTCGAATTCTTGAAAGTCATCAAGTTGGAAACTCAATGGTGCACATTATTGACCGTGTTTTGAATCTCCCTAAATCTACAGAATCAGTTGTTCCTAATGCTTTGGAATGGATCAGAAATCCAAACATCTATCCTTCTGTATCTGTTGCAAGTGGCGTGGGTACTTTCTCAGATTTTATCGAGAGGCAAAATGTTACTTTCCAATTCTCAAATTGTACTGAATGTACCTTTTTCGTACCAGAGAATATTGATAACAAAACGGCAGCAAAAATAGATGCGAATGTTTTGCTCGGCCACGTTATTCCAAATCAAATACTTTTCCTAAGATCTACGAATAATTCAACCCCTTACAAAACTAAAGCTGATTCAAGTAACTTAACTGTCGAGCTTTACAAGGAAGAAAGATCAGAATCTGACTCAATGGAATCATTCGTTTATTTAAATACCAAGGGATCCATCAGCACTCATTTCGGTAACACTAGAGTTAAAATTACACGAGCTAATATTCCTGTCAACAATGGAGTGATCCATATCATCGAAAAGCCATTGATCAATACTGATGTGTCAATCTCGCATTACCTTAATGCAGAAAGTGAAACCAATGAAGTTCATGAATCAGTGAACATACCTATCGGAGAAGGGGAAGGTCTCATAAAATCACATTTTATTGAACAAAAAACGATCAGCACTCAAAGCGATGGTATGTTTAAGGAGACTGCTTCTCTTGGGCCAAACATAGAGCCAGACTTTTCTGTTGAAGACAGACTGTCGCACAACTTTCTTTATTGGTGAGAAGCTCAATTGGACTGAGCAGTTGAGTAGTAGAAATGATGATTGTTTTACGTTTTTTGCTCCCACCGAAGCTGCCTGGAACAAGCTTCATGAACGAGACCCTGAAACATACAAGAAATTGATTAATGGTTCGATTGTAGAAGGTGGCAAATGGATACTGGAACAATTTTTAATAAAACTTGCTTGGCCTTATGACATTTTAGCAAGCCTGCCAGGTATCAGCACAGAGACTACCTTATTTGAATTTTTGAAAGGGCCTCAATTAACCTTAAAGTACATAAATTCAACCACTACCATCGTTCGTCCTGACATCACAGCAATAAATGGGTACATACACGGAATAGATACAGTTATTACCCAAGATATACGTCTGTAAATAAAGGTTTACAAAACTCAGTGAGCTGACTTCTGTACTATTTAATCTTCAGCTCAAGTTGTCCAAATTAGTCCAGGTACTTTAATACTTTAATCGATATATTCGCAAATTCCAAAAATGTTCTAGTTTCAAATTTTGGAATGCCTTATAAACACTAACAAATAACACTATGAACACGTTTTTTCGCCATGTTTAGGCTCAAAAATGAAAAAAATTAACATCAACAGATAGCCTAGACTATCCGATTTATCCTTTAAATAGTTTGAAATCATTTTTAATCACGAAAAAAACCGATCAAATTCTTAGTCGCTGTAACAACCTGCATTCATAACTATTTATCTATCTATTATTAATTTACTATCAGTGTCAAAGTTAACAAAAAAGTAAAGTTCTTACATTTGGAATGCGAAGGCTCGTGTGCTCTTATTATTTGCAGTCATATAGAATAATGAAACTGGATGCTTACGGAATTATAAAAACAGTTTAAACGCGATTGTTCATTTTGTTCACTTTTATATTTATATCATAAAAATTGTAATATAAGCATTTGTTACAATATTATTTTTCCATCTCTTCCGTCTGGTTACTATAACCATGGACTAAAAGATTAATAAATGATGCTATAGATTCTTTTTAGGTTTTAAAACCGATCTGCGTGACGAAAATAAATCAATAAAAATATGTAATATATGCTTAGTGTACAATTTCAATGATTAAAAATAAAGATGTGAATGGCAAATAAAATATCGCAGGTTTAGGAATATTTTTTCTGAATTTCATGATAGTTCCGAGGGTGGTGAACAATATTTACTAGGTTTGATTTGATCCACAGAGGGTCAGAAAGAAACGGCACGGCTTTGAATGTATTTTCTCATAGACAAAAATACAAACGTGAACGGCAAATAAAATATCGCAGGTTTAGGAATATTTTTTGTGGGTTTCATGATAGTTCCGAGGGTGGTAAACAATATATACTAGGTTTGATTTGATCCTCAGAGGGTCAGAAAGAAACGCCACGGCTTTGAATGTATTTTCCCGGTAAGGTTGTACGAGAGACTGGCAGCTGCTTGTTCTCACGCTAAGCTGCAGCTAAACAAGCTAAGCAACAAGCTGACTTGACTTACTGGGCAAAAGGGACAGCGGCCTCTATGGGTTAGTAATAATATTAGTAAATTGACTTACTTACTTTAGTCGAAGATTTAAACAATTAGTTTATTTAATCCAATTGAAACACATGAAGAAAACAAAATTAGAAGGAAATACTAATCATAATCAAATTCCTCGTCATCAATGAGGTTCTCAAACTTCAAATGCTCTATTGTCACATAAAAATTCAAACCAGGTTGATTGTTTGAATGGTATTTTGATTTATATAAAAATTTAATTAAATAGTCACTTCTATCAGGACCATTAGATGTTTTTGGGTAATGTTCCTTGAGTGAACGCCATCTACGTTCGATCGTTTGTGTGTGTACGTCTTGGTTCGAGGGCTTCAAGAAATTTTCCGAATGATTGACCTAATCATAAACAAATCCATTATTATTTAGATTTTTATAAGCTCGCCATCCATCTGAATATACTGTTGTTCCTGGCAGTACATATTTTTTTAAAACACTAGTTAAAGTGTTCTCATCTCGATGGCCAACAATTTCAGCAAAACAAAGTTTGGAATCTCTCTCGATGCCACCGAATACCCAAACTTGTTCTCTTTCATTCGATAAAATCCTTCCTCTGTTGTATTTTCTCCTAAATAGCATCGTCTCATCGATTTCCACGATTTTACCGGGTCCACCAATCTTATCAGAATTGTTACTCATGATTTGTATGCATATCTAAGGATAAAGGGAAAAAATGAAAAGGGAAAATTAGCAACAAATCAAACAATTTTTATCAATAATAATTATAACTTACTTTTCTGAGAAATTTGAAATGAAGAAGTACAGTTTTCTCCGATAAACTTAAATCACTCGACGTCATTGTAATTGTTTTATTCTGACACCAGCAGAATATCAGCTTGAGTAACATTAATATCGAAAGCTTAGAACCATCGAAAATAGTTCCTTTTCCCCAGTTAATTTGCTTACGACATTTTCGGCACATATAAGCTTTTTTAAGCGTTGATTTATTGTATTGTCTCAAACTCATAATACCTGAGCATTCACGATTGATACATGGTCTTGTTTGATCTGGAGGTATTAGACCAGCATCAATTACAAAATTTAGACCTGGCAATTCTTCACCATCAGCAGACAATTTTATATCAAAATTAGTTAAATTTAAATTTTCAAAAGTTGCCATATTGATAGTAACGCACACGGAAATAACAATACAAGTGAATTAGTGGACAAGTGCATCTCAGTTTATATTCAGTATTTCAATTGGATTAACATTGTGATTAGTATTTCCTTCTAATTTTGTTTTCTTCATGTGTTTCAATTGGATTAAATAAACTTATTGTTTAAATCTTCGACTAAAGTAAGTAAGTCAATTTACTAAGATTATTACTAACCCATAGAGGCCGCTGTCCCTTTTGCCCAGTAAGTCAAGTCAGCTTGTTGCTTAGCTTGTTTAGCTGCAGCTTAGCGTGAGAACAAGTGAGCTGACAGTCTCTCGTACAACCTTACCATTTTCCCATGGAAAAAAAGTTTCAAAGTGTGTTTTCTCAAAATATCGCAGGTTAAGAGCATCCTACTTAGCATCATTGAATTCAACATAAAAAGTTCTATCTAAAAAATTGGGTCTGATATGGTCCTCATGGGGTCCCAAGGGAGTTGATGAATAACTCCCCAGGGGATTCGATTTTCGACCCGATTTTTAGAGAGTATACTCTACTCGTCATAAGCTTTCGATTGATATATTGTTTGAAATCATATGAATCATGGGCCGAAAATCCAACATTTTGGCTATCCTCCTTTTTGCATCTTTTCAACTTTCTTTCTTTCTCTTTCTACCTCCTCTGCTTAGTCCATGATCAACATTAACAAAGTTCGCCGATTTACTATTCCAACAAACTAGACATAAGTTAATATTTTTTGTGTTGTTTCCAACTTCGCTCAAACTATTTTGACTCAGTTCTGAATATTGATTTGCATCCTAATTACAATGAAAATTGAAATGTTAACCTTGATACTATTGTGCTTGTCTATTGCAGCCCGTGAGACATTGAGTTTGAATGACAACATTTATGAATGGGCACAAAGATCTGGTGAATATTCAAAGTGGATAAAACAAGTTGATAAATCTGATGAAAATTACAAGCTATTCCTACAGAATTCTGTACTTAGAGTGACTGCTTTTATACCCACAGACGAGGCTTTCAGGAAATTTTCTGAGCCATCTTATGACATCATTGGTTTCCACTTGGTGTATGGTTCACTCGACTTAGATACCCTTCTGCAGATAAAAATCAAGAACCCCATAAGTGTTAAAAGATCTAAGTTACGATTCAGTAGGGGCTTTGACGGAAGCAGCAACCGAAGCGCTGTTTTCGTTTTGGATGCTCGAATTCTTGAAAGTCAGCAAGTTGGCAACTCAATGGTAAACATTATTGATCGTGTTTTGGATCTTCCAAAATCTAGAGAATCATTTGCTCCTAATGCTTTAGAATTGATCAAAAATCCAAACATCTATCCTTCTGTATCTGTTGCAAGTGGCGTGGGTACTTTCTCAGATTTTATCGAGAGGCAAAATGTTACTTTCCAATTCTCAAATTGCACTGAATGTACCTTTTTCGTACCAGAAAATATTGATAGTGAAACGGCAGCAAAAATAGATGCGAATGTTTTGCTCGGTCACATTATTCCAAATCAAATACTTTTCCTCCGATCTATGAATAATTCAACTCCCTACAAAACTAAAGCAGACTTGAGTAACTTAACTGTCGAGCTTTACAAGGAAGAAAGATCAGAATCTGACTCAATGCAATCTTTAATTTATTTCAATACCAAGGACTCCATCAGCACTCATTTCGGTAACACTAGAGTCAAAATTACAAGAGCAAATATTCCTGTCAACAATGGAGTGATCCATATCATCGAAAAGCCATTACTCATTACTGATGTGTCTATTTTGAATTACCTCGATAAAGAAAGTGAAGCCAATGAAGCCCATGAATCAGTAAATGTACCGCAGGGAGATGCGAAATTACATTTTATCGAGAATAAATTGGTCAACTTCGAAAATGATAACATTGAGGAGACTACTTCTTTTGCACCAATAAAAGGTTCGAACTTTTCTGTTGATGAACTTCATATTGAAGGTGATGGAGTTAAAGGTTCTATAGTCAAATCAGAAGGCGGATGTATCAACATATTTCGTCCTTTCTTTGATGTAGTTCCAGCTATTCCTAACGTAACAATAAAAGATGTTTTACACTTCGATCCTGCATTTAAAACAACTTTCGCTGTTGCTGAAAAAATTGGCTCTGGTTGGCTGAATGAATTAGGTAACAAAAATGTTTGTTACACCTTTTTTGCACCGTCGGAAGTTGCTTGGAAAAAACTTTTTGATGAAAATCCATCTGCATACAAAGTTATAGTCGATGGGCTGAATCCAGAAGGGTCTAAGGATCTTTTAGAGCGTTTTTTGGTCATAGATGGAGTTTTTTCTCTGGATTTTTTGAGTCAGTTTGAGATTGTTGATACAATTAATACACAAATGGTCATTCAAACCAAGATCACAGAAGGAAAAAAACAATTAACTTTGGTACATGCTTATAATCGTTCATCCACCATTGTTCGTCCGGACATTTTTACAAATAATGGATATATCCATGAAATAGACACAATCTTTATGGCATATATTGACCTTATGCCAGAGTTAAAAGGATCAGCACAGAATTAATTTTTCAACTGCTGCCTTTATTTCAAATTGTTGAAATTTAAAGGATGATTACCAAAAACCTTGACATTCGAGTTGCTGATTTACAACAAATTGTAAAAGTGTTCCTGTGTCGATGTGTAACGAAAAATTTTTTGTCTCGAAAAATAAGAAAATATAATTAGGATATAAAAGGTTGAGCGCGATGTTGAATCAATAGTTATCAACAAAAACCACTTGATAAACAATTCAAGGTTTGATATTAGTTACGATCTAACGCGAAAGATGGCATGATGTTGCCTTGTAAAATCAATGATTAAAATTTAAATTGCTGTCATTAAGGTTAATTTGTTCACTAATATAAATGTCAACTAAACGGCAGTTTAGCAAGCTTATCAGGTGAAACAATTAATGTGATAAAAAGAAGCAAATTAAAGTCAATTTTTGTGAAATTGTTGAAAGTTAATGAACAAATAAAATGAATCATTGAAGCAAAAAACAATTAACTATCAACAGGGAAATAATTTCAACTTGTTGAACAGTTTAATCATGATTTGAATTGCACAAAAAGAGGAAAATTGAAAGAAAAAAGCTCAACGTTAATTTTTCTTTGATTGTTGAATATTTTGTCAGTCAATTTAAGTCAAGTTAATTTAATTTCGTCTCATTTTCTCGTCTATCACTAGATGGCATATCACTGTGTGGATCCAAATTTAACAGATGATTGTCTTTTTATAACCACTTTGTGCTCATCGTTTTTCAATTGTTTACAGTTTCAAGTTGCATCAACAATTGTACTCAATGAAATAGGCGAAATTATGCGTGTTTAAACTCGAGACCGCCACTAATTTAAACGGTGCTCATTAAATCATCAACCTATTTAGTTAATGTTATAAAATTTGCTGTAAAATCATTTCTTTCTGCCTAGTGGCGGTCTCTTGTGCTTTAGGATTGGGAACCATTTTTTTCCAGTTCAGAGTTTCTCTCTTTTCTATCTTCCTATCTTCCTCTATCTTGTTTACTTTTTGTCTTTCTGTCTTGATAACAGTTGTTTTCTCCATTGGAGTAACTCAACAAAATAGACCAAGTTTCAACACAATATCCACTATCCTGGTTGGCACAACCTGTGTATGCTTTAAGTGTATCACCATCATCGCCATCAACTGCATCTCAATTACTTACTCATCTAAATTTTTCATATAATCCCTGTTTACTTGGCTGCGTTTTTGTTTTTTTTACATATCAATCTTGTTTTCTTTGACAAGCAACGGTAACAGTGAGAAGTAATTTTCAATCAATAACAGCTAAAACAACAGTAACCAGTATTGCTCATCACACTATTCCGAAAATTTCTCCAGGTAACATCATTGGCCACAAATTTATGTAAAAAATCTGTTGAAAGGAAAACGAGGAAAAAACCAAACATAAAAGGAAGCAAGCGAAATGTCTTCTAATTCAAATTTCTTACCATAAGAAATGAATTCTCTGCGTTCAACCAGAAAATTGGTGTTAATCCTGTTGATCTCTGTCTTTCTTATCGGTTTTATGTACCAATATAATGTTCCCACTTGTCTAGTGTCAACAAGTTCAAATGTCCTTACAAGTAAAAATGGACCACAACAGCAGCAACAAGGAATCGGTGATTCCATTCCATGGTCATCATCAGCCAACCTTTTATCTGCTTCATCTTTACTATCTGGATCCAGTGATTTAACAGTTACTGGCATCAGTAGATCAATACCTTTAATTTTCATCGGTGGTATGCCTCGCAGTGGAACCACTTTACTTCGAGTTATTCTCGATGCTCACCCAGATGTTAGATGTGGCGAGGAAACTCGAGTGATTCCTCGATTACTTGGTTACCGTGCTCAATGGATGAAGTCACCATTTGAATCGCGTCGCCTTCAAGAAGCTGGTATAACACCTGAAGTATTGGATAGTGCAATATCGGCATTTATTTTGGAGGTTGTGGGTAAACATGGTCCACCAGCCCAAAGATTATGTAACAAAGATCCATTTACCCTTCGCTCAGCAGTTTATTTGAAAAAATTATTTCCCAATTCAAAGTTTATTTTCATGATTCGTGACGGAAGAGCTGTAGTTCATTCCATTATCACCCGTAAGGTAAGGACCTTTACAATTGTTACAATTGTACCTTTTCAATGAAAGGCAACACATTAAGTGCTTTATTGTTCTCTCATTGATTATTCTTAATCAATCTTCTATTATTTCAATTTAACCTTCATTCTCTCATCATTTTTACCTTTATTTATTTCCTTCCTTCCTTTTCTTCTTCTCACTCTCTGTGTGCTTCCTACCTGTTTCTTACCTGTTAATCCTGTTTTATATTAACCCCGTGCTTTTGTGTTTATATTTCATGATCTGGTTTGACCTCCAATTATTTTTGGCTCTTCAACTGTATTCACCTTTTATACGCCGTCTTCGTCATCTTTCATTCTTGCCCTGTTCATCAACATAACTGACCTGATCAACAACAACAATTATCAATTTAAAAAAATGGAAAACCAACAACAACAATTATGCCCAACAGGTAACCATATCAGGATTTGATTTGTCTGATTACAGGCAGTGCATGACAAAGTGGAATAGTGCAATGCAAGCAATGCATAATCAATGTGAAACCCTAGGACCATCTTACTGTTTACCTGTTTATTATGAACAAATGGTTTTAAAACCAGAATTATGGTTAAGAAAGATTCTCGAATTTCTCGATGTGCCTTGGAATGATTCTGTCCTTAATCATGAAAAACTAATTGACAAACCTGGTGGCATATCGCTTTCCAAGTAAGTAAAAATTTCATTTTCAATATTTTCCACGTTTCCTTAAATTCAATATTCCTTGTAAATTTATCCTCATTGCTAATGAACAGCCAGATTCAAACCCCATCAACATCCAAGATGGTTTTGATTTTTATCAACCCACTTGTTTCTCTTCATCTATCCCCCTCTACTCAATGATTGAGGTAACTGGGTTTACAGGATGATAAATATGATGTAGATGAAAAAAAATGATGACGATAATACCAAGAAACCTTATTCATAACAAATGAATACACAAAAAAAGAGTGTAAGGAAGGGCAAAAAAAAGGTTACCAGTTTATCTGTTTCAAGTAAATGTATTTTGCTTGTGTCAGACTTTTTTTTGATCTGAGAAACCAGTTTAAAGAAGGGTTTGATGAAGACAACGAAGCTTTATTATCCAATGATGTATAAGCATCTTCCTACATGGTGAAAGAGAAAAGGTAAATTGCAGGTTAATTCAACATGAAGGGAATGAAGGGAATTAATGATTTGTTGAATCGCAAGACTTTGTGATTATAATGAAAAATAAAAACCATGGAAACATCAACAATAACAAATGATGAAATTAATAAATTGAAAAGAGGAAAAATAGTAAACTCTTTTTCCCTGTATCATGAAATGAATTTAATCTGGACAAAAAAAGAGAAGAGTAAAGAGGATAAAATAGCTCAACATGAAGTTACAATGTTTACAATTGAGTTATTCAGCTTGAGGGTATATATTTTTGCAGATAATTTCAGGGAAAAAGGTAAACACTGGCAGATAAGATGAGAGATTGAAAGAGTTGGGATTGTTTGGGAAAAGTTGAAAGAGCATGGAATGATGTGAAGAGCAAGTAATGTTGATGTAAAAAGAAGATGAAAAGTAAAGAAAAATATGAGGAAGAAGAAGAGATTTAATCCGGAATGGATGTTCAGTAGAAATGTTGATGAGTTTCTTGGTGTAGATGTAAATAAGACACAGTCGAGGAAAGAAGATGATGAAGGAAGAAAATGAGTGTGAAGAGTGTTTCTTGGGGAAAAGCAAACCAAATGGAAGAATGAAGAAGAGAAGGAGAAAGATGAGAATTCATTGTTTTGATAGTTGAAACCATGATGACGATGCTCATGATAATGATGATGATTATACAGAAAAGGGAAAGAATTGAGAAACAGATAAAAAGTGAACGATATTATGGCCTGTTAAGTCTTCCTCTTTACTGCAACAATAATTCATTTTTACAGTTAAACTTTTTTCTTCTTCTCTTGTTCATCTACTCTGTTCATGCTCATTCATTTTGTGTATTCAAAAAGATTTTATTCTGCATTTTTTTCTTCCAACTTTCTTCTCACCAATCCTGAGGTTAATACAACATTAATCTGAAAAATTTGCTTAAATTATAAATTCCTAACTATTCATTTTCATCTTTTTCCTGCAAATACCTCACTATTTAAACATTTAGATTTACTCTCAATTAACTTCCATATCAACCTTATTATCATCATTATCATCATTATTATCATTGGTTTCTTCATTTTTTTTCCTGGTGATACTTCAAAATGTGTAACGTTTTTTGCTTCATGAGAAACTCGACCTTTTTTTTGCCTTTTCTCAGTTAGTCCAGAATCTGATGTGATTATAAGATGAAAAGTGTATTTGGTGTCTTGGTTAAAGATGAAAAACTAAGATCAATTACATTGCATGACAGGGATGATGATAAATTCATGTTAATATAATTTTTTCTTCTTTCACTTCTAACCTGATATCATTTTGTAGTTTCATTTCTCCCCTGAATGTAGCCATTGCCTTTGATATAAAAAAATGTCATTGCAACTATCAGTCACCGGAAGCCATCCAATATATTGTCATCTCTTTCCATTCAGTTTTTATTGTTCACTTTTCAAATTATATCTTCTTTATTGATTTCTTATATATCTTCTTCTTTGCTTCACCATTTTCAATCTTTATAACTCTACAACAATTGAAAGTGAAAGAGTAAAAAATAGACATTTTCATGATATTTTTTTTTCTTTTCCATGTTACTTTAATTTATAGACTTCTATTCTTTATTTTGTTACCCTGATATAATAATCGTTTTTTTTCTTTTTTGTTCCGTTTTCGCTTTCCCAGATTGGAAAGATCGACTGATCAAGTTATTAAACCGATAAATGTTGAAGCCTTGAGCAAATGGGTTGGCCATATACCGGAGGATGTTGTCCGTGATATGGCCTCAGTTGCCCCAATGTTATCCGTTTTGGGTTATGATCCAGCAGCTAATCCACCCGATTATGGTAAACCTGATGCCTTTGTAGTAAATAAAATGAAAGATCTTTCCAGTAATCGTAAGAAATGGGAAGAGAAGGAGCATGAACTATTGAAAGTCCGTCAATCTATTCAAAGTGATATAATCAAACAAAGAGGTTCATCTAAACCATCAAAAGAGTATTTGGACAATGAAATTGGTCAAAGTATTGGTTACCGATTAACAAAGGAACAAGCATCTTCCAAAGACAGTTAACTAACATGAAACAAGATAATATATAAATACACAAAAATATTTAACTCTGAATGTTGTTTTTGTTTTTTCTATTGTGTTTGAAACAAGAAGCGAAAAAGGGCTTTTCTTGTTATTTTTTGTACAAAAATGTGAAAAGGACACACAAAAAAATGAAACAACGACGACCATGACGATAACACACCGAGAGAGAGAGAACTGAATGAACTGAACCATTGACAAGTTTCTCAATTAGATTAATTGTAATATAGTTGCAAATTGAAGTAAATTAAATTTTTAACCTTTTTTTCTCAACCAAACCTGGAGTTGATTTAAAATGGAGCAAAAAAGACAAGCAAATTAGCTGAAAAAAGAGCTTCAAACCTAATCCATTTCAACATGAACTGAACAACTGTTTACTGATTAATCTTCAAAAGTTGAACATGAAAACGTTTCCCATGATAATATGGAAAACAAGGAAAATGTTTTAACCCTTTCAAGTTTACCCTCAATTTGTATCATTAGCGTCATTAAAAGGTAATTGATTGAGATTAGGAAGAAAAGATGAAAATGCAAAAAAAAGAGACGAATGTTGCCAAAGTAGAAACATTTTGACTGATTTTATAAACTCGGGTTCGATTTGTATCTTCCTTTTCAAGCTTGTCCATGTCAAAGTGTACATTTAAGTGTGAAGGTTAAATGGACCACAAAGTTGCAGGCAATCTTATTGATTGCAAAGTAAATCAATTGGCAGTAAAGTTGAGGAAAGAGCCAAGCTTGTTCAACTCACAATAGGTGAGCCTTGAAGGGAAACAGGAAAGGGTTCAGATGATGAAACGATTGGTGGATCAAGAAGAGAAAGCAAATAAGGTTGAAGCGATTTATCGTCCATATTGATGGTTAACTTGTAACTTGTGTTTGCTAACATTGAAAGAGAAACTCTTTTCTCTTCCATTATCACAATTTTTTCATCCTCTTTTCACCATTTTCCTACTATTTTCGCATCTATTTCAACCTGTCCAAATATAATGCTTTTAATAATAAGTCTAACAAAACTTTTCAATATCTTTTTCCTTTTCCTTTTTTTCCTTTTTTTCTACCAATTTTGCTTCTTTTTGTTCAGCTTTGTTACATTTTCTTCTTGTATTTTTCGCTGATAAACCTTGACTTGATTTCAGTTTGACAATTGTCAAAATTTTCATCTTAAATGAACACCTTTTTTGCTTGTCACTGTTCAATCAGAGCTGCATATGAAAAAAGCTTGCAATTATTAACAGGTTTGACAAGAGGAACCAAAAAATTTGCTCCATTTTGTTGAACCAAAAGATTCGAACCCAAAATTTGTCTCTTTCTGATCAACCCATTAAGTTGAATAATCAGGTTAAATATGAGTTGGTTCTCGACACATTTGAATGATTGACTAGAGAATATCAATCGAACATTGAATCTGGTTTTGTTAGGTTGATCCAAATCAACCGCTCGTTGGATTCTCTAGATTATTATTTGATAACTTTACATTCATTTTCCTGAGCCATGAACATTATTGACTAACAATTGTATGTCTTGCCTCATTTCATTAGTTTCATTGATTGGAAGTGCAAAGATTTTCTCAAACTCATTTCAATCATTTCGATTCACTGAAAAGATGAAGCAAGTCCAATCGTAACGTTATCTGAGACGTTTTTTCAGAACGGTCATCTTCGACTTGAGCCATCGAAATCAACATTGAACTTCGAAAAACAGCAAAATTAAGAAATTCGTTTGGGTTTCATCTTCAGACGATGGCCAACAATTTTCTTCTTTTTTGTTCGTAGCAAAGTTCATAATCTTATTTCAAGACTCAATAATTACGATCATTTATCAAATAGATTGTGAATTTCGGCGGTTTTTCCTTTTATATCAACTTTTTAAAAATTATAATAGCATTTAAATTGAAATGATGGAAACTGTGTTTAAATGGAAAAATCTGGTTTCTGGTTTTTCATCAATGATGATGTCGAGTTTTTTGATATCTTTTTTTGATAAATTGAAGCAATTTCTTGGGAAATTTATTTCCATTGATAAATTGAATTTACATTTGATAAACTTTTCTTAAATCATCAACTGACAATTGATTGAATTTGGGTGAAACGAAGAAGCAAAAGGCTGATTTCCATTGGATGCAATAATTTTCAACTTTCTTTTCCATCTCATTCTCCATATAATCATGTTGATCCATTCAATTGAACTGGGAATTTCTAACTGATAGTGAAACGTTGAAAAGTGAACAAGTCAATGTTTATCATTATTATTGGATTGACATTTCACTTGGCAGGTTCAATCTGTCATTTCAGGTAATCAAATTTCAATTGATCCAGTAAAAGGTAAACCAAACCATTTACAGATTCAATTTGAATTTCGTCTTCTTTCCAATATTAAATTTCAATTTAAAGGAAATGCTTTCAATGAGAAACTTGATCAATCAGCTAATCACCGGTTCAATAATAATTAACTTGCAAAAATGTAAACCAGTTGAAGCTGAGTTGACAAAGTTTCTCATCTAATTGATTAAGGTGACAAAGGATCGAGATAATGAAAGTGGGAAAAGTGTAGTTTGGCTGAAACATGAAACAAAAAATAGTAAATCGCAGACTCATGATGAACCAAAGAGTAGAACTTGAATCGATTGGAACAAAGTGGAATAACATTTTTGTTACTCCAAAAAACTGGAGACTGTTAACGATTCCATTGGATGGCAAAAAGTGAATCAACAAAAAAAATGGAAGCAAAAAGGTGACACAGAAGGAAACAAATATTCAAAGGAATCTTGAAAAGGGTGAAATTGGCCTTCTTTTCATGGAGAAATTGTTTCAAAAGTAAAAACAAAATGATGATCATTAAGATGAACATTTCATGGCAACAGCTGTTATTGTCTCTGGAAGAGTGAAAATTGTACCAATAATTTGTTGTTACCTTAACAATTTCAAAAGACAATGTTGCCTGAAATTGATGTTTAAAGATGAAAAGAGTTTCATCTCAAAGTCGATTCTTGAAAGGTTATCAGATTGGAATAATAATAATAATTTATCAGCAATTTTTTTTTGTTCTTCTTTTCCTCTGTTCCTCGCCAGTTTTCATCAGTTATTCTGTTCATTTCATTATCATTGTGAATCGTTGAAAGGAAGATAAAGAGAAGAAGAAGAAAAAAAGAGATCAGATTGAGGAGTAAATATTCATTAAAGGTTAAACGAATAAAAGTTCAATTCTTACAGGCAATGAAAGAGGGAAACATTATTCTTTTCTTCCTTTCCATATCAGATTATTTTCATTTAACTTTCATTTTCGCCTTCATGGAATGATAAATGTTGGCAGAGGAAAAATATGTGAGAAGAAGAAGAAGAAAAAAAAGGAGAAAAAATGGAAAAGATTAAGAATGTTAAATGAGAATCAAATTAATCAAATTGATGGGCAAAAGAGTTTTGCTTATTAATTGTTCAATATTGATAGGTTTTCAGGGAAGTTTCAATGAGAAGCTGAAATGGTTCGAGAAAGGTTCAGAGTTAATCTAAAGATGATGAAAGGTGAAGAAGATGAAGAAGAGGAATGATGATAATGGATGAAACTGGCAGAACAATTGAACCGTTGTAAGTTCATTTATACAGAGTCAATGTTACAATCGATTTCCTTTTCATCTTCAATCATTTCTCTTCTTTATTTTTCCTCATCAAAGCTCATTATTCAATAGGTAATAACAATTGACTCAATGGAATGCAATTTTTATACATATCTTCATCTTCTTCTTCATCATCTTCTTTTCTTCTCCATTTTTATTCATTTTTCTCATTTTCTTTTTTTTCACTTTTTTCTCTTCTCTCCTCAGGATTCCAATTACCTGACCTTTGCCTGTTATTTCCGATCAATTTCCGTGACAATTGAACTTTTCTCTTCTTTTCTCTTCTTCTTCTTTCCTTCTTTACTCCAATCTGATCAAACAAGGTTGCAATTTAATCAGATTCATTGCTATAATTTGCATTCTCTAACCTTTACTGATCACTTTCAGTAAACAAGATTAACTTCTCGATAAACACTGAATATTTGTTTTTTAATCAAAAAATTCTACTTTTTCTGTTATTCGATTCGCTGATAAATCTCTTGGCTGAACTGAAAATGAAAAGGTTGAAATGAAAATTGAGCAGAAAATTGATAAATTGAATTAGACTTTAAATTGGATTGGATTGACTTGAATGGTAAATTGAATTTCCAATTGAATCTCATTTTTTTAATTAATTTTTGATTCTTCATTTCGCAAGGTTTCAATGAAAATCTTCTTGAAAGTGACAGGGAGAAAAAGGAAAATCTCAATAAATTCTAATTGAATTTCATGTTGAACAAATTGAGATTTGAAAAGGATAACTTTTCCTCTGTTGAACAAACTACTCATGAAGGCAGAAAAGGTCTGAACAGACATGATGATATCTTGAATAGATGAGTGTACATGATGATAAAGTATTAGATAATGATGATTAAAAACTGAACAAGAAAGGTACAAGGAAACAAAATTTGTTTATCTCTACATAAACATTCATTGGTTGGGTAAACCTTTTGAATAACCAAGAAAGATTTTGGTGAAAGAGAGAAAGAGAAGAGAGAAAAATCATATTTTATAAGAAGTTTCTTCTTCTCTTCACTGGGAGTGAAATCTGCAAAATGGATAAAAATAATAACAACAAAATAACAACATTTTTGGCCTCCTTTTGTGATAACAGAAAGAGAAGAGACACAAAAAAGTAAATATTGTTCACATAAATGATATTACAAGTTGTTTTCATATTCAGTTTGTGATTAAATTAATCATTAAATTCAATATTCAATGGAAAGAATTGAAATGTTGATTTTATCCTGGTTTTCTTCTTGCTAGATAAACATAAGGTTAGTCAAAAAATGTAGACTTTTCAAGATAATGTTCATTACTATCGATATGAGAATTTTGTTTTTTCAGTTTCTAGACTCGTTTAATATGAATTTGTCGTTTCATGTTGAAATAAATTCTGGACAAATTCAGGAAAATTCCAATTTCGTTTTTCGAAGTTCCCAGTTGAGCTTTTTCAAATACAGAATTTACAGTTTAATGAAGAAAATGTTCAAAATTTTGTTGGAAATGAAATTGATTTGGAATTTTATGAAAGTTCTAATCGATCAACTATTAGTTTAAGCTGATTTTCGTCAGTTTTTTTCTGTTTATTTTGTTTATTCTTGACTTGAATCTCGAATTGATTTTATTCAAATTTTTAAAAGTTATCAGTTCCAAATTCAAATTATTGTGTTGAAATTCATAA